CTCCTCCTCCTCCTCCTTCTCCTCCTCCTTCTCCTCCTCCTCCCCCTCCCCCCTCCTCCTCCTCCTCCTCCTCCTGCTCCTGCTGCTGCTCCTCCTCCTCCTGACCCAGGCGCCCCTTCTTTTGAGCAGAGAGGTGGAATGTGGGCGAGGGCCTGCTTTGAGGTGTGGGAGGATCGGCGCCCGAGGGTCTTATCTTATCTCCTCCTCCTCCTCCTCCTCCTGCTCCTCCTCTCCTCCTCCTCCTCCTCCTCCTCCTCCTCCTCCTCCTCCTCCTCCTCCTCCTCCCCCTCCCCCCTCCCCCTCTCCGTCCCCCTCCCCCCTCCTCCCCTTCTCCCTCGAAAGGTCCAGCGTTTCTGTTGGGCATGTTTCGGGGCCTCTTGTTGTGGCTCGTGCCCTGAGATCCAGGCGCTGTCATTATGTAGCTGTTGGCCAGGTCTCGGGCCCCAGGACCAGCACCGGTCGATGCGGCTCGACATGTACCGCCGAATGATGGGGCCTATGGCTCCAGTCGTGAATTGAATTGTCGCGATGTTGCAACGCTTTCGCAACATCGGATCTCAGCACGGGCGCGGGAAGCTCGAGAGGTCGAGGAGGAGGCGGAGAAGGAGGAGCAGGAGGCGGAGGAGGAGGAGAAAGGGGGAAGAGGAGGAGGAGGAGGAGGACCAGGAGGACAAGGAGCAGGAGAAGGAGGAGGAGGAGGAGGACAAGGAGGAGGAGGACAAGGAGCAGGAGGAGGAGGAGGAGGAGGAGGAGGAGCGTCATAATCGACCCAGGCTGAAACAACGATGCTGCAGACACACGCACACACACACACACACACTCACACACTCACGCGCACACACACACGCTCTTCTTGGCCTCGCGGCCCCGCGCGCAGCGACAGGGCGTAGCAGGAGCGCGCGCGCGCGTCTTCAGGCCGAGCCTTCGGGTAGAAGAAGAAAAAACGCTATAAACATAAAGTGTTGGCGCTCCGCGCGGATTTCTTGGATCCGCGCTGGACCCCCCTCCCTGGCACGCTCCGCGCGCCAAGGGCGGCGCCAGGGGCGCCGCTGGGGGGGGGGGGCCCAGCGCGGATCCAAGAAATCCGCGCGGAGCGCCAAAAGTTTATGCTGATAGCGCTTTTTTCTTATTCGAGAGGGGACGGCTGCGCGTGCCCGGAGTCGGGTGTTGCTAGAGGTGACGTCCGCGTGCAGGGGTGGCCTTGGGCAGGGGTGACCTCTGGCGGGCGGCCTCTGCCCGCCGCGGCGTGCGGCGCCAGAGCGGCCGCCGGCGCGCTTCGGTCTGGGCCCCCCACGGCCCCACGCGACAGTGCCGCGCACCAGAGGCCACCCCAGCGAAGGGCCACTCTCCCCTGCGCGCAGCCCAAGAGTGCCAGCGGCCCGACCTGTGCCTCCAGGGCTCCCCGGGGGGGGCGGCGGGCCCGCACGGCCTCCCGGCCTCGCCCCTCCCGGGGCCCCCGCCGGGGGGGCTCCGAAGCGGCGCGACGGACCGGGAGCACCCGGCGGCAAGGCCGCGCGCGTCTCTCGCTGGGCGGGCGCGCCGCGCCGCCGGGGGGCGCCCCGGGGTCCGAGAGGCGGGCCCGGCCGAGGCCGAGCTGGGTCCGCGAGGCGCTGCGCGCAATCATGCCCCGCGCGAGGGCGAGGGCGCCCGGGCGGCCTGGGCGCGAGCGCGGCTGGGGCGTCGAGGAAGCCGCACACGCCTGTGCACCAAGGTGCGCGGGCCTGCGCCCCGGGCGTGGCGCACGTCCGTCGTTGAGCTTCTCGCGCTCGCGAACCTGCAGCCAACCCGCATCGTGAGGATGCGCGGTAAGGGATTCAGGGGCCTCGGAGGGCCATGCGAGCGTTTGTCGAACGAGGTTGGCCAGCGACGGCCGCTGAGGATGGGCCGAAGGGGCTCCTCCTCCTCCTCCTCCTCCTCCTCCTCCTCCTCCTCCTCCTCCCCCTCCTCCTCCCCCCCTCCTCCCTCCTCCTCCTCCTCCCCTCCTCCTCCTCCTCCTCCTCCTCCTCCTCCTATTCTTCCTCTTTCTCCTCCCCCTCCTCCTCCCCCTCCCCTCCCCCCCTCCTCCCCGGGTCTCGCGCGGCGGGCCCATCCTTACCATGCGGGTTGACTGTACCACCCGAAGAGTGCCCAGGAGGCACCCGTTCGAGTCGACTGGGCGTCTCGAGCATCGCAGCGTCTCGATCCGGCGCCAGAGCCTCGTGGGCTCCTCCAGCGGTGCGCCGATACAGTAGGGGCTCGACCACAAGATACCTTCTACAAGAAGACCGATCCTGAGACCCCAGGACGTTCATTGATTTTGGTGTGGGAACATCACGCCTTCCATAGCGAAACCATCGGAATTCAAGAGACCCAGGGCAACGTAAAGGCGAGCAAGGTGTTTCTTGCCATGGGTCTCCACTGTACCCTTCCAGTCAGCCTCAGAGCACCATCGCCAATCCCCGCGTCCGTCCAAAACCTCCAGGAATGGGCGGGGTGACGGGGCAGACAGAAGAACGCAGTCAGAGGGGGCCGTCGAACGTCCCGAAAACAGCTGGGGTCACGCCCTCCACTGGGATCAGGTCGGGCATTTCCTCCGACAGGCGGATCTGGAAGAAAAAAGGTTGCCAAACTATATTTTGAAGGTAATCGAATAAGATACCACGATCGTCCCCGTGTTTCTTTTTTGGTTCTTATTGGAGGAGGAGGAGGAGGAGGAGGAGGAGGAGGAGGAGGAGGGGGAGGGGGAGGAGGAGGGGGGGAAGATGGAGGGGGAAGAGGAGGAGGAGGAGGAAGAGGAGGAGGAGGTGGAGAAGGTCGAGGAGGAGGAGGCGGAGGAGGAGGTCTAGAGGGACATGCCCGACTGAATACTGGGAGCAGAGGATCGAGCGGCGCGCCCTGGCCGCCCCCTGGCGTGGTGGAAGGCTTCCGGCGGCGCGCAGGACCGCCCGCCCGGGCAGCCCCGGCTGGCCTCCGCAGGCCCCCCGCGAGCAGCCCCAGCTGGCTTCGACACTCAGCAGGCCCCCCGAGTGGCCCAGGGGCGGTCTCCCCAGACCCCCTCGAGTCATGAAAAAATCACGGCGAGACGTTTTTCGCTATTCTCGGCCTCTGGGGGACCTTACCGGCCCTCAGGACCGTCAAAAACCGACTCGGGATGAAAAGCCGGTCCCGGGGAATCGGTCCGGACCTCTGGAGGTCGCGTCATGAAAAAATCATGACGTCGGGGGTCTGGGTCAGCGCCTCAACCCTGGCGATCTAAGGGCCCTCCACCAGGTTCACCGAAACCTCGGGGCACGCCCTCCGAGTTCCGCCGGCAACCTCGCCGAGGTCCTGGATCCCCGGGCCCGGTTGTGGCAGGGGAGAACGGCCGAGAAGAAGCCCTGCGTGTCACTCCCACACGGACCATCCCTGACCGATACCGACAACCTGCCGCCGCCGATGCCCTGGCGAGCCGGAGGCACGCTGGCTGGCAACCAGCTCAAGGCCTCGGACGATTCTGGGACCCGTGCGTCCACGCGAAGAGCCGCCCTTTGACTTGGCGGCGCAAGCTGAAGGCGACACGGCCCAAACGACACACGTCGGAGAGCAGAAACAGTATCAGTGCCACGCCGCAGCGTGTTTTAGCTGGCGACGATCCTCAGAGCATGCGTGTTAGCGTTAGCATGGCTTTGTCCACTGGAACCCTTCAGTACGACACAGGCGGCGCAATGAGGGCTGACACGGGCAGCGATTTAAGATCAACTACGCCACGCTGCATCATGCCCAAATGCACGTGGTAAGCACAGATTGGGCTTACACACGTTCTGAGAATCGTCGATGTCCAAGACGGGCCGGGCTTCCGTGCAAAATGCGGCCGAGCAGCACGTACAGCTTGACAGCAGATGCGCGAGCCGTTGACAACTTTTCCTCCTCCCGAGCAGGTGCGCAGCAAGACGGTGGACGCGGAGAGCCCTACTCCGGCGAGCACAAGCCACGGTGGCTGCCGGCGCTTTCTCCCGCCGGGCCCGCGTCGCAGGCGAGCTCGAGACGGCGGAGCCACAGGTCCTCTTCGCCCCAGGGTCGGCAACGTCGCACTCGAGGGGAGGCTCTTGGCTTGCGCATGTCCCACCAGCATGGCTATTCGACCGACCTGTTTTGGGTGTCCTGACGCCCAACGCGAGTCCACGATGATGATGATGTTGATGATGATGATGATGATGATGATGATGATGATGAAGATGATGATGATGATGATGATGATGATGATGATGATGATGATGATGTATCATCATAATCATCATCATCATCATCATCATCATCATCATCATCATCATCATCATCATCATCATCATCATCATCATCATCATCATCATCATCATCATCATCATCATCATCATCATCATCATCATCATCATCATCATCATCATCATCATCATCATCAGCAGCATCATCATCAGCATCATCATCATCACATCATCATCATCATCATCATCGTCATCATCATCGTCCTCATCCTCATCCTCATCCACATCCTCATCCTCATCCTCATCCTCATCATCATCATCATCATCATCATCATCGTCATAATCATCATCATGTTGATGATGTTGGCGATGCTGGTGGTGAGGATGTAGATGTAGATTAAGATGAAGATGAAGATGGCGATGATATTGATGATGATGCTAATGTTTGTGATTATTATGGTGATGATGACGATGATGGGGATCATGATGATGATGGTGATGGTGACGATGATGTTGATGATGATGTTGCTGATGGCGATGATGATGATGATGATGCCGCTGCGGCTGTTGATGATAATGCTGATGATGGCAATGACTATGATGACGATGGTGGTGATGATGATGGTGGTGGTGATGACGATGTTGATGATGACGGTGCTAATGATGATGATGGTGATGATGGTGCCGATGATGAAGCTGATGCCGGTACTGACTGTGTTGATGATTGTGCTGGTAATGATGATGATTATGATGAGGAGGAGGAGGAGGCGGAGGACGACGATGACAAGCTAAAGCTGGCGCCTCGGGCGTTCCTCAGCCAAGGCCCCGCCGTCGGAGTCCTCACTGCTAACACTGCTGGGGTCATTGTGCGCATGCGCAGGGTAAGGTCTCGCGCCGAGCACGTAAACGTCCAGCCAGCCTTTGCCCTTCATCTCCACAGGCCCCTTCGGCACGATGGGCACCTCCCGCGGATCCAACTCTCGCCGGGTCTCCACCCCAAACTGCACCTGGCAGGGCCGCGAGACATGCTGAGCCCGACAAGCATCCCCGACGATGCTCTCATTCCTCCACCATCTTGCCCCCTCACCTTCCCTCTCTAGTTCCCCAGCTTGCCCCTCCTCACCCTCATCCCTCTCCTCCTCCTCCTCCTCCTCCTCCTCGTCCTCCTCCTCCTCCTCCTCCTCCTCCTCCTCCTCCTCCTCCTCTTCCTCCTCTTCCTCCTTCTCCTCCTCCTCGCTCTTCCTCCTCTTCCTCCTCAGCCGCCTCCGCCTCCTCCTCCTCCGCCTCCGCCTCTGCCCTCATTTGTTTTCTTGGTGTGTTTCAGTATTGTCTGTTTGTTCCTCCTTATGTCTAGTTATACGAATGAAAACAATATGTTTCTTATTCGTATCACTATTCGTCTCTTTCTTGACCGTAACATGACCCTTGTGATTTGCTGATCAGTACTAGATGTTTTCTTCTCACTCGTATGATGAGTACTCTTCTGCGTAGCAGCATTCATACTATTATTAGTATTCGCCTGATCGTTCGTAGTATGCTTCTTATTACTATTACGATTACTGTTATGATTGATCGAAATATGATTCGTCTTGTTCGCCATATTACGGCTAGCGTTACTCTCATGAATAAAAGCAATGTGATCGTTCAAAGTATTAACAAGATTGCGAGTCATGATATTAAAACTAGATTCTGAATTTTGGTGCCATTACTATTACCCACCTATTAGTATCATCCGCGTATTGTTAGTACTATTTTTCATGTAATTAGTATTGTTTTCTTCGTATGAGTGTTTTTCTTATCTCGGTTTGTTTTCTCCACATTATGAGTGTTCTGCGTTCCAATGCTTCTCCATATTATATTTGTTAATCGCAGTCTTCGTTCCTAGTATGATTAGTCGTACTCTGATTCATCCTACTCTTCTGTTTACTATTAGTACTATGTTTGTTAATATTATGTGAGTTACCGAATGCCCACTTAACATTACTAGCACAGTGTTAGCATTACTACTCCTATCACTGTGATTACATTTCGTACTATTATGCGTCGTCGTCTTCTTAATACTATCATCGTTATTCCTCTTAGCGCTGTCACTACTGATGGTTCGTATTTTTCGCCTGCGTAATAATATTGTTAGCATCAGTACTCTGATTATTCTTAGTATTCCGAGCAAAATTATTCGTATTATGATGTTGCTGTTCCTTTAAATCTCCATCACAAAATTACTTGTATTATCAGGGCTCGTGCCGCTAATAATAATACGATTACGACCATGATTCGCAAAACGATGACCAGTACTATGACGGCTGGTAGTACATGTATTACTGCATTATGATAACTACGTATATACGATTAATACGGTTGTGAGTACCACTACTATCATTAACAACAGCATTGATATTGCGATTACTAGTATTACTACTACTATTATTCGCAAACTTGTTCGTATTCTGATTGGCCGTAATGTATTATTGAACTGCTCTTCCTCGTTTTCCAACCTCTGATCCTCCTCTTCCTCCACCTCATCTTCCTCATCATTACCACCCCGATCGTCAGCATTGCCATCATGATCATCATCATCATCATCATCATCATCATCATCATCATCAGCAGCAGCAGCAGCATCATCATCATCATCGTCCTCGTCCTCGTCCTCGTCCTCATCCTTCTCCCCATTCACACCCTCCTGCTTCTCATACTGCGCTCCCCCCCTCGCGTAAGCTGTGGAACCCATAAGTGACCGGTGCCGCCTGCATCTGCGGGGCAGAAGCAGGGCCCGGGACTGGGCCGCACACATGGCGCAGGGTGCTGATGGGGGCGGGCCTGGGTGCCCAGGCCCGTGCGGAGCGGCGACCCTGGTGGGTGGGTCTGGGCCGCCCCCCGGCCCAAGGTCCCCTCGGCAAACGGTGTCCCCGGGCCCCTCGCATGGCTCGCCGCCTGCGCAGGCGGCGGGCGCGTCCTGCGACGCGCGCCCGCAGGGCACGGCACCCAGGTCGCGGTGGGCGGGGGCCCGTGCGAGAGCGCGATTCCTGGACGTCGAGAGCGCGGCGCTTTCGTAAACGCGAGAGTGCGACGCCTAAGCAAATTGTAAGGAAGTCTCGAGCGAGAACGCGATGTTGAACAAATTGCGAAGAGTTATAAAGCAGGACCCCGTGGTTGTTATAGCCAGGGGGACAACAACACAGCTTGAGCCTCAGGACTTTCCCTGATAAAGAACCGGGTACGGGCACCCCGGGGGGGCACTTCAAAAGAAAAAACACGGGCACTGAGCTGGGGAGATCAACAATGATTATTCTGCAAATGTGAGATTTCAACTGCAAAAAGAAAGCAACACTGAGTCCCTGCTCTGTCGCCCTAAGAAACTTACCACCAGACCTGTCCCACGGGGATTCTGACCAGAACTTCGAGGCCGATCCAGCCATGGCGACACGGGCGCCGCAGGACGCGCGAAGACAAACAGAAAACATCGAAGAACTCACACCTTGGATCAACCCTCAATCCACGATCCTCCTCTTGGGGACAAATTGTCCGCTCCAGAAACCCGGAGGCAACAACATCGAAAAACATGCCTGGGGGCACTTTTGCTTGCGCCAGCTTCCGCCAGCGGAGCCGCCCTCGTTCGGTTTCCGCCGCTTGCCGCCGACGGCGAGACGGCAACCCTTCGATTCCTGGGGAGGCGAGGACGTTGGGGAGCAGGAGGAGGAGGAGCATGAGGAGGAGGAGAAGGAGCGCGAGCAGCCTGAGGCAAGCGTGTCTCCCAGGGCTAAGCCGCCGCGCGCTAGGCGGAGAATGTGGCTAGCGCACGACGAGAGCGCGGGCGGCGGCCAGCAACGTGTTTGGCCAGCTGGCCGTGGACATTCTGTATTTGCTATGAAGGTGGAGCGCGAAGACGACGCATCGGATGGCGGCCTGGAGCGACAGCTCGTTCGGCACAGGCGGGTAGGCTGCTGAGGGGCCCAGCCCCCAGCTCGCCAGCGCGCTGATGATGGGTGGAGGATCATGGGACCAGAGGAGGCTCAAGAGGCGAGGACAGGAGAGGTAGTGGGGGAATGTATATGGCTGCTCGCAGCAGCCGAACACGCAGCTGCGCGGCGCGAGCACGCGCATGCGGGCGGCGGTCGCCCACCCGCCAGCCAAAGTCTTGAGCGCTGCCCAGCGCCAGCTGGGGCGAACGCTGCGCGGGGAATTGGCGAGCGACTCCCATCGCTCGGACAGTAGCTCGGGTTCGACATATAAGCCCCACGCGCCAACCCGCTATGTGAGGGCGACTGTGAAGGGCGAGGCGAATGCAGACTTGCGGAGAGATGCAACAAAGGCTCTCTCGAAAAGGTGGCGGCGCGGCGGCTGGGCTTCCAACGCCACAGCCTTCTCCGCCTGCGCTGCACGGTGAGCGTCTTGCATCATCGCTGGCGCGAATGGGCCAGTGCTCCGCGCGTCTCGCGGCTGGGCGCAGCACTGCACAATTGCGCGCGCTTGCTCCCAGGAGCTGGGAGGCCACAGTCCGTCCAACCAGCAATGGAAAGAAAGAACTGCACTTCCCCCCACGCCGCGTCGCGGAGCATATTGAAGTGAGGCCCCCAATAGCTCGGCCAGCGCGCGCGATGCAGAACGAACGGCAGCGGCGACAGACATGACCTGCAACGAGCGAATCTCAGGTGGCGGCGACCAACCCGCCATCGCGAGAAGGTCTACCTCACGGGAAGTGTTCGGCGGCAGACCTAGCATCGCGTGGAAAATGCAACGCCCACGGCGCGCGATGGACGCGGGGACTGGAAAAAAAACGGCCCACGTAGCTCCAAGCAGACAAAACTGGCGCGCCATAGAAACGAACCGCGGCGTCGCTTCCAGAGTGCACGCGCTGGAGCGAGCGAGCGCGCCGTCTGCCCAGGGCGCGCCATTGGTCAGCCAGGGGGGCCGGCGGGCTGAGGAAGATCCCGAAGTATTCGGCTCGCCCCTCGATCGAAGACGCACGCCACGAGGGTGCGATCGCGGAAAGCAAGCCCTGGGCATGGGCAACGGCGGCAGGCGACGCTGCCGCCCAAAGATGGACAGCAACACACTTGCGAGGCTTGAGTGACAGGAGTGCGAGGCTAGCGGCAGCAAAGGCCTCAGCCATTCTGCCGATCACTCCGGTGGATTCGCACACGACGCCAAGGTCGCCCGCGCATGCGCCCAGGTAGGTCGGCGAGGTAGCGCCCGCGCTGCCCTGCTCGATGGAGGCGGCGACGCGGCGGATCAGAGGGCCCACTGCAATCGCCCCGGCGGGCCCGCTCGCAGGGCGGCCCCGGGCAACGCCCGACCCGATCGCGCACGTGGGGCGGCGCGCACCGTCGACCTTGCCCGGGGAGGTGGGCGCGCAGCACATGGCCTCGAACAAGTGCACGCGGCCCGTCGGCAGCCCGAAGCGGCGCGGCGCTTTGAAGAGCCACGTTCTGCCGAGAGACGGGAACGCCGCTGCGAAGTCGAAACTGACGAAGGCGGGGCGGAGCTCCAAGGCATTCTCCGAGAAGCCAGCACGATGCATGTCGGCGTGCTGTCGCACAATGTGCTGCGTGAAGTTCCTGCCCATCACGAAGCCCTGCTGCGCCTTGCGGATCCGCTCGGCAACGAACGGCTTAATGCGGTGGTTCGCGGCACCTGCGATGGCCCTGATGTCCGCGGTCTTCAGCGAGAGCGGGCGAGTGTCTTCGGGCAGGCGGTCAGTCGCGAGCTCGACCAAGAGGTCGTCACCCTTCGGAAGAGATTCAACGGCTGAGTCGTTCAGGTCAGGGCAGACGAGTGCCCCGAGCAGAAGTAGAGAGCCAGGTCCTCCAGGATGGAGAGCGAGTGGTCACGGGCGATCCAAGAGTTGCACGGCAATATGTCTGGGCCAGGCGCCGAAGAGGAAGTCCGCTTCAGGAAGGCCCCCAGTTGGCGCATGGAGAGCGGCAGGATGTCCAGCTTGCCCCCCTGCGGCACGCGCATGTCGACGCACGCGTGGACGGCGCCCGAGTCGACGGTCATGCGGGAGAAGACGGGGCGCCAGCGGTTGCGCGGGGCGTCGACCATTTGCCGCTATCTCCGGCCACGGCAGCAGGGCCACCCAGGCCCGCGGTCTCGATCACCTGGAGGACGAGTCGGCGCTTCCAGGAGGCCTAGGGGAGGGCACGCTTCTGAGAGACCCGCAACATACTCTGGAGCTTCTCGGGTGGCAGGGCCTCTGGGCGGCCCCGTGGGGGCCTCGCTGCCCGCTGATCCAGCGAGCGCTGGCGCGCCTCGAAGTCGCGGCGCAAGGAGGGCGAGAGGCTCGCGAACTGGGCGCCATCGGTGAGCTCCAGGGCCGGGGAGTCGACGTCGAGGAAGCGCTTCCCCAGCTCCTTAGTAGCGCGAAGGAGTCGTGCCAGCTGAACATCTTGGCGCCAGATCGCCCGCGAGATCGAGCGCATTGCGATGACCCTGCCGTCCAAGAAACCTGGCTTAGCGAGGTCCTCCGAGCAGAGGCGGACCCAGTCGCCCCGAACCGCGCGGGCATCTTCTGACACGCAGTGCTTGTGCTGCCGCCAGCGGGTCTCGATAGGGAGGCGCTGCGTGTCCGCAGCGTCAATGCGGCGTTCTGCAAGTATGTGGCGTAGTTGGGGTCGTGGAACACAGCTGGAGGACATGGCTTGCTCGGAAGGTGGAACGCGCGGTGTGGAGCCGATCGAGAAGGAGATAACGGCGCGGTCACTGAGGCGCCCGTCAGAGGGAATGGCGGGGTCGTGCAGAACATGGACTGCCATCGAGAGCTCCTGCGTCGCGCGGGAGGAGTGGCTGATGAACACACGGTCGATAGATGAAGCAGTGTAATCTGCCATGTCGGAGCGCGCGGGGAGCTCGGCCTCGACCTCCAACATGGAATCGAAGAGGGCCTTCCAAAAATTATGCTGCTGGCGGCTGTTGTTGCCCAGCTGGAGGCGCGCGCGCATCGCCCGGGGCTGGTTGAAGCTGCGCGGCGGGCGGCTGGCGGCGTCGAAGTCACCGATGACCAAGATGGCGCGCGCGGTGCAGTCGTGAGCCGCCCACTCGCGGAGCGCGCGCCAAGCTGCGCGGACCCTGTCACGGTCACGCGCTTGGAGTTCATGGTTGTGGATGTTCGTGATTGCGAAGGAGCGGCCCGTGTTCGCACTGCTGATGACCAGCTGATGGGCGCGCCCAGGAACCAGCGGGACATGCTCGAAGTCGGGGAGCTGGTCAGGGCGGAAGCGCTCCAGCTGCGCCACCGTGAACCGGCGGAAAAGAATAGCAACGCCACCAGTCGAGGAGGACGCCCCGCGCGCAGGGCCTGCCGCGAACTCGGAGAGGAAGAGCTTGCACGGGCACGGCTGCGTGCCCAGCCAGGTGCGGAAGAGCACCTCGGCGCCATGGACCTCCTGCAGCAGGATGGCGCGCTTGCTGCGCCCGCGCTTGATGAGAGCCGCTTGCCCGCGGCGCCGCCTGCGGGGCCTGGGGCGCGTGAAGGCGCGAGCGCTCAAGCTGGTGAACGACGACGGCGCGGAGGTGACAACCTCGCGCCACGGGGCCCACGCGCGCCTAGGAACACCACGCTGCTGTCTCTGCGTCCGCGAAGAGGGCCTGGAAGGCTGCGAGAATGCCCCCGCGGTTGAGGCCGTTGGGATCAGAGTTCGCTAGCGCGCGCTCATTCCATTCGATGGTGGCGGGGTCGGCCTGGCCCTCGAAGTTGAGGCGCGCCAGCGGGGCCGCGTCGCAGAGGACATCGCCCTTTGCGCGGAGCGCCCTCCAGCGCAGCTGTGGGAGGCGCTGAGCGGGGAGCTGCTGGAGCTTATTGCACTGGATCTCTGTGCGGATCTGCTTGGGGGATTTGTCGGGGTTGATGAAAATGTCGAGCCGTTGCCTGTTGACGTCCGTGGAGTAGAAGCGCCTCCATCTGCCAGCAGCGTCACGGAGAGCACGTTGAAGGGCAAGGGCGCGCGGCATGGCCACCTCCTTCGCACCCTTGACCTGCAAGATGAAGCGCCTGGCGGGGGCGTCGCCATGTAGCTCCACTTGGTCAGGCCGGAGGCCAGCGTCTGCAACCCAAACATGTAGGTCGTTGAAGACAGCGTTGGGGGACATGATCCGCTGGGAGCCGATGGGGGATAGGGGCGGGTCGGGCGAGAGGTCCCACTCGGAGACCCTGGAGAGGTCCGCGATGGGAAGCTGGGCCTCCGCGAGCTCGAGGGCGTCGCGCATCTTGTCGATATCCATCCACATCTCCTTTTGTTATGCTGCTTGTCGGTATCGTTCGCGCTTGGTGTTCGCCACCTGGTCTCGGAGGCAATCCACTCTGCGCTCGGTATGTAGCACCTGTTGTTGAAGGAGTTGGCAAGAACTCTCACGACACTGGTCGAGGAGGGTGCCTGCCTGCTGCTTGAATGCGCCCACTGCCTGGGACATCTGGTGCTGCATGAGGTCTTGAAATGCGCGATCGAGGTCCGCGGGAAGCCAGAGTAGCCGAACGGGAGAGCGGTCAGTGACTGGCGTGGGAAGGCCACCGACGGGAGTGGCAGGAACCTGATCAGGTTGATGAGCGGGGGCTTCTGCTTGCAATGCGAAGGCGGGGAATGCCTCCAGGTCATTATCGAGGGCGCGCTGCTGCTCGGCGTCGAGTTGGAGAGATCCTCGAGGTCGCCATGGGTCGGACTGCTGGATCGGGTCATGCTGCTGTCCACCAGGGAGGCTGGAAGGGTCTGGTCTTGCCGAAGAGCGTCCTGATCTGGCGGTCCGTCGTCTGCCAGCACCTGAAGCCATGAGCGCGAGGGTGTCTGCTGCAGCGGTGGCCCGACGACGCTCTGCACCTCCTCTTCGACGGCGTTGTTGGCTGCGGCTCATGCTACGGTCCTCGTCGGAAGAACTTCGCATGCTACACCGGGTGCGCCGCCAGCCGCCAGCGGGAGTTCGGCACCACCACGCGACGACAGAATATGGATGAGATGAATGGCCGCCTGCCAGGCCAATGCGATGAACAGGAGAACAGTTGTGCCGCTGCTAGCCCCTGGTGGTGGCAGCGAGCGGAAAGCCGAGGCTTGTAGGAGCCCACCCCGTGGAGGCAGTGATGGGGAAACCATCTTGGCCTTGAGCCCAAATGGCTACGGAACGAAAAAGAGGAGGAGGAGGAGGAGGAGGAGGAGGAGGAGGAGGAGGAGGAGGAGGGGGAGGAGCAGGAGGAGGTGGACTGTGGACGAGCTCTTAGCCCGGCGCCGCCTCGCCCCTGGAGGCCTTCTGCATCATGCGCGCCGCGGTGTTCATGGTGTCCCCGAACAGGCGGAAGCGCGGCAGGCGCTGGCCGACGATGCCAGCGGTCACGGGCCCGGTGTGGATCCTCGAGGGGGGGCCAAGGAAACCCCCAGCAGGCCCCAAGGAGCCCCCGGGGAGGGGCTGCTCCTCCTCCGCCTCCTCCTCCTCCTCCTCCTCCTCCTCCTCCTCCTCCTCCTCCTCCTCCTCCCCTTCTTATTAGTATTCGTATTATTAGTTCTCTTTTTTATATTTTAATTATTATTATTAGTATTATTATTAGTATTATTATTATTATTAGTAGTAGTATTATTATTATCATTATTATTAGTAGTAGTAGTATGATAATTAGTATTGTTATTATTATTATTATTATTATTATTATTATTATTATTATTAGTATTATTATTACTAATATTACTATTATTATTAGTATTATTAATTATATGGTGATTAGCAGTAGCATTATTAGTATTAGTACGTTAGTCCACTTATTAATATTAATAGCCTTCTGGCTATTGGTATGTTTAGTATGCTTCTTATTCGTCGTGTTATTATTATTACTAGTCTTAGCATTCTGATTGTTATGGATAATAAAATATTATGATTAGTATGGCTATTCATATGAGTATTATGATTATGCTTAGTCTGCGTATTCTGATTATTCTTATTCGTAGTAGTAGTAGTAGTAGTAGTAGTAGTAGTAGTAGTAGTAGTAGTAGTAGTAGTGGTAGTAGTAGTAGTAGTAGTAGTAGTAGTAGTAGTAGTAGTAGTAGTAGTAGTAGTAGTAGTAGTAGTAGTAGTAGTAGTAGTAGTAGTAGTAGTAGTAGTAGTAGTAGTAGTAGTAGTAGTAGTAGTAGTAGTAGTAGTAGTAGTAGTAGTAGTAGTAGTAGTAGTAGTAGTAGTAGTAGTAGTAGTAGTAGTAGTAGTAGTAGTAGTAGTATTCCTCTTCCTCCTCCTCCTCCTCCTCTTCCTCCTCCTCCTCTTCATGTTCTTCCTCCTCGGTTTGCGAGTCAGCGCGGTTGGCGCCCCCCCTCGGTCCCCATCTTGAACGCAACCTGCTGCGCCTCATCATCGCGCAAGATCGATGCCGCCTGCAAGTCGAGGATGTCGTGGGCAACGCGCACTAGGCGCCCCAGAATAAGTTTGTGGCCTGCTCTGGCGCTGATCTCTCGGTCCTCGGGCACCACGCCAACGGCGCACACGTACTCCTCCCCGACCGTTTCGATCTTGGTCACTCCGTTAAGCTCGCAGATGCTATCCAGCAGACAGAAATAATGGTTCAAATACTTCATGATTTGCAGTGGCGATCCCGAGCGGCTGTTTGCGAATTTGTCGAAATCGGCAATCAAAATGAACATCACCGATCCGTCACCTTGCCGCTGGGCATTGAGTGGGCGTGTCCTCAGGTCCTCTCACTACCCCTCTAAGCCTCAGTCCTCACTCCTGGGAGTCTGTCAGAGGTTCGGAACCCCTCGCCCCAGATCACTTGGGGCTTGTCGCGTGACCCCTGGGCTGCCCCGAGTGCTGCCGCACGAATGTTTCGGGCCCAAGAGGGCCCCAAGACATACCAAGAGGGCCCCAAGAAGCCCCCAAGACGATCCAAGAGGGCCCCAAGTCGCCGAACGATCGCTCCAAGACGTTCAAGATGAACCCCAGACGGCCCAAGAGGCCTCCAAGACACCCAAGAAGGCCTCCAAGAGGCCTCCCAAGAGGGCCCCAGGAGGCCAAAATCAGTGATGTGCCTTAGATTCCTGTAGGATTTGGGCGTTCTCCCCTGGTCGGCTTCCCGACGCTCACCCACAAGATTCCAACGAACATCCAATAGGCTTCATACCCACAACCCGGGCACGGTGGCGGGATGGGCCGAAGGCCATTACATACTTTTTCAATCGTTTCGGCAAGAGAAGACCCTGGATCCCTAATGAGCTGTGACACCACGTACTGGGGCGTGGTGGTCGCAAGGATGTAGTAGAGCTTCCTGCTCACTTCTTTGTGCTTCAACGCATACAAAAACCTCGTCCGCTGCCGTTTCTCGAAGTACCATTTCTTCTTGACAGCGATCATGTTTACTCCTACAAAAAACACTGCGCTGACGAGGAGCTGATTCATCTTAGTTGCGTCCACTGGATTCGGATTGGAGTCCTGGTCTGTTGTCCACCTCATTTCCACTGCAACTGCCACCAAATTCGTCCAGATGAAAATCCACGTGTACCGCATGTACCGATATTCTGGCACCACCCAGATGCACAGCAGAATCCAGGACATGACGCGCTGAGAATTGTCCAAAGAATTTACGCAAGCATTGTAGCTCCCTTTGCAAAACATGGGCGTACCAGGATACGCATTCAAATTGTCACAATATGATTTGTATGGTGAAATTCCTGTGAGGACGGAATTCGCAAAAAGCACAAGCACGCATACCAGGTAGCACGAGAAGCGAGGCCTCCACACCACGTGGCACAGCGCGGGCAAAATAAGCAAGACGACCGCATGATTGCCAAGTCTGTATGCACCACCCGCTGACATGAACGACCCCATCAGCCACGAGTCGCACTCCAACGACGTCTGCAAACACACGAGGACGGTCTGCATCAGCATGGCCAGGAGGAAGACTGTGAGGACCCTGGCGCCGAGCCGGGTGTTGTGGCGAATGCCCACGGTCCTCTGGCCCCGCCCCCGGAATCCGGAGCAGGAGGTGCGGGGACGATACCCAACAGCAAATACCGTTCAAAACTACAGACAAACCGTATAGTAAGGATGCGCGGTGAGGAGGCAAGGGCCTTGGATAGAGGAAAGAGAACTATGCACATGCACCGAATCTGGCCAGGCCCATCCTGAGCCCAGGATCGGTGCATACGCCCTCCTGCCTTGGCCAGGAAGGCATATGCACCGATCCTGGGTCGAGGATGGGCCTTGCCAGGATCGGTGCATGTGCATAATTCTCTTCGCCCGATTGGAGGGCCATGCTGCCGTTTTTCGAGCGAGGGCCGTGGAAAGGTTGCCCATCCTTACTGTGCGGGTTGGCTCTGACACTGACGGACTTGGGGCGGATGCTCTTCGCCTGGTGCGGACAACGCTTGCGGCGAAACGCCGACAGCACATCTTGGTCGAATCGGGCAAGAACTGCTGTTGGCCATCGTCCCCATCCATTCGGCACCCGTTTCGGCCCGCCTGCTTCCTCCACTGTCTCTCCACAGCGGGGTCCAGAAACTGCAGACTTCTGCTGGGGGCGCTCGAGAGATCCGCCTGGACGAGTCCGCCCCGGCCCGTGAACTGGAGCTCCTGGATCCTCGCGTTCAGAGCGTCCCTGCCAGCGTGTGCTTGTTTCCGCATTGCTGCTTCAAGTCAACGCTCTTATTTTTGTTGGTCAACAGGCTCGCGAGGCGGGTCGAACGCCGTCCGAACACTAGTCGGGCCGCGACTAGGCAGCAGGGAAAGAAGGGCAAGCGAAGCGAGCGAGCGGGCAGCCACTCAGAAGGAGAGCCAGAACCGATACTCCCAAACCCGGTGGCGCTGGAAATGAAAGTCAATGCTCTCACGCGCGGCGTTGCAGAAGGGGATGGAAGAGGCCCAAAGCAAACCCAGAGGGCATCAACGATGCTGCAGCATGCCCTCCCGTCAGCGGCCCCCTCCCCACGCAGTCCCTGCCGGCCAGCCCTCTCGCCGCCGCCCCCCACGAACAAGCGAGCACCGGAAGGGGCCTGCCACTCGCACGGGATCCCGGCTCTGAGACTCCGCCGACCCTGTCGGCGTGTGTGGGGGATGTCTTGCCGTTGGAGTCGTCGTCGCCGTCGCCGCCGCCGCCCTCTCCCCCGTTCCCCGGACCCTCCGCCTCAACCTCGAGCGATGCAGCCAGGCGGAAATCAAGCTACGTCGTATTCGATTCGAAGGGAAGCCCCTTCCCTTTCGTCTCTTCCCTGGCATGGGGGAAGGTAGCGGCGGGGGGGGGGCCGGGGAAGTGCCGGGCAGGGGGGGGAATAGCGGGAGGGGGGGGGGTCCTAGAGTACGGCGGGTCCCGCGGGGGGTCCCGGGGGGGGGGGGCCTGGGGGTCGTGACCTCCCCCCGGGGTGGTCCCCCGTGGACACTGGGGGCAGGGGAGGGGTCCCCTTGCGGGCAGTGGGAACTCAGAGGCCCTCCCCCCGACTCCCCCTCGTGGACCACCACCCGTGGATTCATTTACGTGTATGTCCTTCTTTCGCTCCTGGCTAATGCTGAGGAGGGCTCAGAGCGAGAGCCTCGTTCTGAAAATGAAACGCCCTCCGCCCGCGCAGGCTGTTACACGTCTTCAACCTTCCAGCCGCCACATCCCAGCAGCCCTCTGGGCTGAAGTGGTCCGGGGCGCTTGCTCTTCCAACCTCTCCTTCCCCTTCGGGGAAGGGTTTACCTCTACCCTCCACCCCTGGGCCTGGACGGTGAGAATGTTTCACACGAATGCGCACGTTGCTACGGCGAGAGCCGCATTTGGGAAACAATCTGGCCCCTATCTATGGTAGCTTCCGCAAATGCTTGAGGATACGTCATGCGCGCGTCGCTAAGGCGAGAGCTGCATTCTGGGAACGACCGGCCCTCCATCCTTGCAACTGTCGGGCATTTTAGCGTACGGACGAGAACAAGCAAGGAGGTCTCAAGCAAAAGGCCTAGCCCAGCCTGCGGCACGTCTGGTGGTGCGACAAGGGGGGGATAGGGGCGGAGGATGAGGAGGGGAGGAGGAGAGGAATGGCGGAAGGGGCGAAAAAAATGGGGAAGGCGCCGCCAGCGTCAAAGGCGGAGCAGGAGCAGCAGCAGCAGGCGCCTCTCTCGACGGAGGACGGCGAGGATGAAGAGAGGGAGGGGGAGGAGACTGGCAGCGATCCCCCTCCTCCCTCCTACCTCGTCGAACTCGTCCCATGCTGAACCAAAAAACGAGGCCTCTGGGATATGATGTCGTGGAGCTCCCGGGACTGCTCGACAGGCGGGAAAGCCTCTGCGGCACCCTCGTCGTCGTCGTCGCCGTCGCCGCCGTCGAATCTCCTCCTCCTCCTCCTCCTCCTCCTCCTCCTCCTCCTCCTCCTCCTCCTCCACTCCTCCTTCTTCTCCTCCAACTTCTCCTCCTCATCCCCCTCCTCCTCCTCCTCCTCCGCCGCCGCCTCCTCCTATTCTTATTATTCTTCTTCTTCTTCTTATTATTATTATTAGTCTTATTATTCTTATTATTATTCCTCTTCTTCTTATTATTATTCTTCTTCTTAGTATTATTCTTATTATTCTTATTCTTCTTCTTATTATTCTTCGTATTCTTCTTATTCTTCTTCTTATTATTATTAGTATTAATAATATTATTATTATGTTTATTATTATTATTATTATTATTATTATTATTATTATTCGTCTTCTTATTCTTATTATTCTTATTATTATTATTCTTATTATTATTATTCGTATTATTCTTCGCATTATTCATATTAGTCTTCTTAGTCTTCTTATTCTTCTGATTCTTCTTATTATTCTTAGTATTATTATTCTTATTCGTCTTCTTAATATTATTATTATTGTTATTCTTATTGTTATTAGTCTTATTTTTTTTAGTCTTCTTCTTATGTTTCTTATTATTCTTATTATTATTCTTCTTATTCTGATTATTATTCTTATTATTCGTATTATTATTAGTAGTATGCTTATTATTCTTCTTATTATTATTCTTCTTCTTCTTATTATTATTCTTCTTATTCTTCTTAGTATTATTCTTCTTATTACTATTATTATTCTTATTATTATTATTCTTATTCGTCTTCTTATTATTCTTCTTATTTTTCTCCTTCTTCTTCTTATTATTATCATTATTCTTCTTCTTCTTCCTCCTCCTCCTCCTCCTCCCTCCTCCCTCCTCCTCCTCCTCCTCCTCCTCCTCCTCCTCCTCCTTCCCCTCCTCCCCTCTCCTCCTCCTCCTCCCTCCTCCTCCTCCTCCCTCTCTCCTCCTTCCTCTCCTCCTCCTCCTCCTTCCTCCTCCTCCTCCTCCTCCTCATCATTCATCATTCATCATCATCATCATCAGCATTCATCTTCATCATCATCATCATCAATCATCATCATCAATTCATCAGTCATCATTCATCATCATCATCATCATCATCTCCTCGTCCTCGTCCTCGTCCCCCCCCCCCCATTTTTCAGTATAGATACCTCCTCCATATTGAACCTCCAGGCGTGTCGGTGGGACGTGTTAGGCGTTTCGCCCGAGACTTCCTCACCATGCTACCAGAGAAGAACCAAATCAGAGTCTTTGTTGTTTTTTACATGAGTGATCTTTGGGACCACCCGTTTTAAGGGGGTTATGATGTTTGCTAAGATTGTGAAGGCGATGAGGACTATAGGGCTATAGGGTTATGGACTAAAGGGTTATATGGCTATAGGGCTATAGGGTTATAGGGGTATAGAGCTGTAGGGCTATAGGACTATAGGGTTATGGTGCTATAGGGTTATAGGGCCATAGAGTTATAGGGCTATAAGGCTATAGGGCTAGAGGGCTGTAGGGTTGTAGGGCTATGGGGCTGCAGGGCTATAGGGCTGCAGGGCTATAGGACTATAGCGCTGCAGGGCTATAGGGTTATTGGGCTACAGAACTATGGGGCACCCTGGCACCCGGCACCTGGGCACCTGGGCACCCGGGCGCGCCGCCGAAATCGGAGCGGCACCGCACCTAAGCATATGAATCCGCTAGGACCCCTAGAGAGGCAAGCTCTGATTGAGAAGTTTACGACCCTGAAGCTTGAAAGTTGCAACAGCTTCACGGATGGAGGGGGTCGGTTTCAAAATGTGGCCCTCGCCTTAGAACGGCGCACATTCGCCTTTGAAATACAACTGTTTCACTAATGGAATGCGGGCGGTTTTCAACATGTGGCCATCGCCTCAACTCCGCGCACATGTGTCCTATAAGTTTGCAACTGATTCACGGATCAGGGTGGTGTTTTCGACATGTGGCTCTCGCTGTAGCGCGGCGCACATGTCTGTTAAAGTTTGCAACAGGTTCACTAGAGCCGTCCGCATTGGTTCTAAAAGCTCGCAACCTTTCCACACATGGAGGGCGGCTCCTTTTCAACATGTGGCTCTCCCCTCAGCGCCGCGCACGTTCTCCTGAAATGTTCACAACGGTGTCACTGATGGAGGAAGGCCATGTTCAAAATGTGGCTCTCACCTTAGCGCCTCGTGCATTCGTCTCAAACGCCTGCAACAGTTTCACAGGTGGAAGTGGGTCGTTTTCAAAATGGCGCTCTCGCCCTCAAGCCGTGCACACGTTCTTTAGGCTTACACTGGCTTCAGGGATGGAGGGCGGTTCCTTTTCGAAATGGGGCTCGCGCCTCAGTGCCACGCGAATGTGTGTTTTGTTCCATGTGACGTCCAGGAGGATGGAGGACTGCCCTCCTCGTTCTGGCTGAGCCTCACTCTCGAAGATCGTCCCGTCGTCGAGGCTCGTCCCAGCACTGAACTCTGTCGTCTTTGCCGAGACCTCTATGGCTCCACTGCCCCGATGCTTCTGCTGTGGGGGAGGGGGGCCCGCATTTATCAACTCGAGCCCAAGCGCTTGCGCTGCATACACGCATGTTAGTCACCTGCAACATCCTATATTCCCAGAGCAACCCTCCGGAAATCGTTGTAAATCACATTCATATTATTTTCTCTAACTAAGCGTGACACGCAGCAGGCGGGCGCTGGGCACAGCACCCAGTTCAACAGCAAAAGACAGGCGTCCCTGCAAACAGCGCAACACCCGTGCTGATCGCCAAAATGGCGTCGTAGTCGCACACGGCGTAGTAGTAGTAGTAGTAGTAGTAGTAGTAGTAGTAGTAGTAGTAGTAGTAGTAGTAGTAGTAGTACTAGTAGTAGTAGTAGTAGTAGTAGTAGTAGTAGTAGTAGTAGTAGTAGTAGTAGTAGTAGTACATCACGTATCTGCCGAGCTTGCTCCCTTGCTGGACTCACTGGCCCCCTCCTTCGTCATCCTCTCGCACATGTCACGGAGGCGGATGGCCTTCATCTCGGTTGTGATATCCTTCCCCTTGCTGGTACGCAAGGTCTTCTCGATCTCGCGATACTCCTTCTCCTGCTTCCACCACGTCGCGTCCGTGTCCACTAGCAGCATGCCACAATGCAGACACCTTAGCTTATCCTTGTACTGGTTGCTACCCTGTGTAGTCGTCACATTGTGCTCGCAGTCGCCTATGCGGTCTCTGGCAATCTGCTTCCCCTTGAGCTGACCTTGGCCTTGCTCGTGGACTCGTATGTCTCGAACTCACTGCCTTTGGCTCCGCGCTGCATGGAGGCGTAGGTCTTCTTTCCCCGACGGCACTCGTCGCAATTCTTGACCACCAGCTCGTACGCCTCTAGAACGCCGTCCTCTATCACGTCGCCGAACTCGTCTGCGATCTTCTCGTGCGATGCATGTCCGGTCCTCTCGTGTAACGCGCGAGCCTTCAGCATCTCCTTCTTCGTCGGTGCAGCAGTCCCTTGCGCTGGCGCGGTACCTTCTGCCATGTCCCTGCTTCCTCGTCATCATCTTCGTCCGAAGGTACAGCAGGTAGATCGTCGGAACGCGCAGAGGTGAACGCCCGGCGCGGCTTCTTGCGCGCCCTCGGTCCGCACTCGCACAGGTCCAGCGCCACCCGGCACAGAGCGCACACCGCCACCGTCGCAGCTGCAGCGGCGCCTGACTTGATCTCCTCAGACTCGGCACCCGCAGCGTCCCTCATGCAGATCTCCGCGACGTCGGTGCTATCACACTTCACGTTCTCGTCCGACTCACGTGCGCACCAAGCTCCTCAGTGACGCCTAGCTCCTTCTGGGGGTCGTCATCGTTCGTCACCTTCGGCTTCTTGGTGGTGCGCTTCTCGGTGAAGTCCTCCTCGTAGCGCTCGAGGGCCGCCGTCGTCGGTGCATAGATCGCCAGCAGGTTCCGCACCTGGGTCGGGATCCTCCGACGCTTCGTCACCTGGTCCAAGCCAGACCAGTCGACCATGTCCTCGAGCTTCTCGTAGTAGATATCGTCCTCGCGCTGCCCGAGCATCATCCGCCAACGGAGGTAGAGCTTCGGAGCAGGCTGAACTACACGCGCATTGTACCTTACATCCGCTATGCAGTCCTCGAAGAAAGGTGTAGCCCTCGTGAACAAAGAGCTGGTCAGCAGGTCGCTGCCTCTCGGAATACTTCGAGCGGTAGTTTTCACCCCTGCGCCCTTTAAGCTCCATCCTCTGCTTGGCTATGATCTGGTCCGCCATGAGATCCTCCGTCAGCCGGCACTCACCGGTGTGGGGCACGTACCTCATGTAGTCGCCAGCGCTGACGTCGTGCTTGGTTAAGCAGTCGGCGAGCATCTGCTTCGTGCTCACCCACTTGCTCACCACGTTGTTGAACTCCAGATCACTCCTGAGCGACTCGATATCGATCAGCAGCCGTTTCTCGGAGGGCACCGTCCCTCGCTTCTGGAGCAGGTCGTAGAGCGACTTACAGTCCGTGACTTCCACCATCTTGATCGCCTTCACGTCGTCCATGTGGGTCCGGTAACCTAGCCCGTAGTGCAGCTCCACCAGGTGCTGGCTCAGCATGTCCCCACTCTCGACCGCCTCCAGCCCCGCCATCGTCTCGGCTGCCAGGGTATTGCGCACCACCCGCTCGATGCGGTGTGATCGCCACAACATGGGAGTGACCTTGGCCGGCCTCCCGCGGAGGAACTGATCGTCCTTGTTGTCTGCGAGCAGGATGACCAGGCCCGCCTGACTCGCGGTCTTCGTCTTGCCCACGTTGCCATGGCTAGAGTCTCCAACCGCCACCACGATCGCGTCGTCTATGTTGATATTCTGGAAGATGATGTCCACGTGATCCGTCTTGGCGTCGCTCACCAGCTTGTTGCTGTTGAAGCCCAATTGAAGCCCAGCAGGTCCTGAACCTTCAAGTCGCTGTCGTGAGCTCTCGCTTGACTCTCCACCAGTCGAAACGCCAAGTCCATACGGGTAGATCGCACCAGCCACTGGATCTGGCCGTTGCCGCTGTGGAGCATCGCCCTCTCCTCGGGCGTAGCCTTCGCTTCCTTGTCCTTGCGACGCTCGTTTGAGATCGGAATATCCTCGATGCTCTCGGTGTCCTCCCTCTGGCTACAGGTGATGGTGCCATCGCCACTCTGCTTTAGGAACCCCCCGCAGCGATGGAAACCAGTCTTCGCCGTCTGCCACTTGCCGCAGCAGTGCATATTCCTCAGCTTGGTCACCTGGTTAGCGAAGAACTCGGGCGAGCCCGTTACCAAATCGTCGTCCATTTGCGTCCCGATCAGGCCGATCAACATATCATTCTCGTCGTGGAAGATGAAGAGAGCTGGGCACAACTTCGACCTCGACGCTCTTGGGAGAGACAGCATGGCGTCGCGATGCTCCTCGTACCACAACGGAGGTGCATCATTCAGCCCGTAGATCCCCTTCTTCGCTCTCAGCACCGCCCCTTCTGGAACGGCTGGCCAGCCCATCTCTGGCACAGCCGGCAGGCCGCCCTTCGGCACGCGGAAGTACACGCGTCGAGAGCTGTCGAGGCACTTCCCGCTTAGAAATGCCGAGTCGACGTCGCCCTGCTCAAGTCTCCAACCCGACTGGCTGGCAGCTTCCTGCAGGATCATCGCCACGGCCGCGTCCGTAAGAGCGGGGGCGTCGGCCTGCAACTCGCCCGCGAGCAGCTGCTTGTCCTTGTATCCTGGGACGAGGTTCCGGGATTTCGCCTTGAGCGGGCGCTGCTCGCACGACAGGTTGCCCCTCGCCGCCTCGTTCTAGTCCGTGCGAACACGCCTCATGGGCGAATTCGCCGTCTTGTCCACCCCCGCGAGCTCCTCCTCAGTCGGCCAGTCCACTGCATCGTACTCGACCCACTTGCGCCACTCCCCCAGGTCGCTCGCGTCGAAAGCCGCCTTCCACTCTTGTGGGATGCTGCGGATCTCCCGACCCTTCTTGGGAGTGACCTGCTTCTTCGTCGCGTCGGTCCTCCGGGACAGAAACGCGCCCCTCTGGCGGTTCCTGACCTTGACGAAGAGTGCTTCCTGATCCATCGGGTCGCCCGGTACCTTCGGAAGGCGCATAGAGCTGCCATTGAGAGCCTCGCGTCGTAGTCGCATGCGTTCGCGATCTGCCTCCTGGTCGTCGGGAAGTGTTCGCTTGAAGCTGAGTCGTGGTGCAGGTCCTGGTTGCTCAGCTCGATCTGGTTGCTGTTGCTGTTAATGAGGAATACCTGGCGCAGTCGCCACGTCCAGGTCCATGGAGTGCCCCTGCCCAGCTGCCGCAGCAGGTGGGTCTGTAGCTTCTTCTGGAGGAACTGGTCCTCCACCTGGTAGTGGTGGTACTTCAGGTAGGTCTCCAGGTGCAGGCACGTCCTCCTCCTCGCGCTCCTTCTTCGGCGTCGCCTCGACCACTGGCCGCGGCGGCGGTGGAGCCGGCTCGGCACGCGGTGCCTTAGCCGTTGGCGCGTCGATCACACCGTCCTCGTGGTCCGAGTCCTTCTCGTCCCTCTCGCGGCGCACGCCGGTCTCGTCGCTCCCGTCTGGCCCAGGTCCACGCTCATCAATGAAACCCTTCTGGAAAATAGGTCCTCCACGCCAGTGAGAGAGCTGCCTGACCAAGTCCTCGTTCTCCACCATATCCGCATCGCTCCGGGAGGCGTGCCGCACCTGCCCCGGCGCCGCGAGCACCGGCACCCCGCGGTAGCTGAGGCGCAGCCTCGCGTGGCCTTCGGTCGCCAACACGATCGCTGGCCCACGCCAGCCGCGCTCGCCCTGGAGCCTCTTCGACTTCACGTGCTTACCTCGCGCCAGTAGAACACCAGCTGGCCGGCACGAACGGCCGGCGCGGCGGGCGAACTCGGCCAACCATGGCCCGCCTGACGGCGTCGTCGCCGTCCAGCTCGAAGAACGCCTGGTTCGCCGCTGCACGCATCTGCTCTGCTCTGCTCGGGCCCTCCTCGAAGAGAGCCGCGCTCTGTGATGCCAGCTGCCTCTGGTCGCCCTCCATCGCCTCGATCAGCGAAGCCGGAATGCCAGGCGACCGGCCCAATACATATTGGTAGGGGGTGGAGCCGTTCCGCCGAATGTGGTTGTTGCACGTACTCGCTATCACCGATGTCCAGACACGCGGATCGTCGTTCTTGGCGAGCTGCACGTCGCGGTTCAAGCGCTGGAAATGATCCTTGAAGAAATCGATCGCGCGCCCCACTCGACCCTTGAGCTGGGGCGCTCTGCTGGGACCGGCCTCATCCGGATGGTGTACTTCTCTCCGATCTCCGCGAACCGCTTCGCGATGTGGCCCTTAGCTGCGTCGTAGTACAGCACCTTGGGTGGCCCAGCCCACGATAGCCAGCCTTGCGAAAAACATCGCGGGCTCTCTTCGCCGGTAGGGATGATTACCTGGAAGCCCGACGCGCCGTCCAAGATCACCATGACCATCAGTCGGGCCCCATCTGCAAGCATCACCTCGGCCTCGTCGAAGAACACGTTCTCGTTGAATTCCGTCGAGAGATTCAGGTTCGAGCTTCTCGCCGCAGTGGGCCTGCCGAGCTCCTCGCACACGCTGCAGCCCAGCTTGTCTACCGCACCCAGCACTTGCCGCGACGCTCCGCAGGACTTCAGTCGCCGCTTCAGTGCGCGAGCAAAGGGTGGCTCAGGTCGAGGTGGAGCTTCTTGAGAGCGCCCCACTGAGCCGTGGTGATGTCCGAAGGCTTATCCCCGAAACTCTAGCCCTCGCGTTGTAGGTCTCGATGTGCCGCGTCAGCTTCGCGATCATATGGGGCAAAAGTCTCGGGCTGGCTCCCGTAGACATGCACCGTCGCAGGGAAGGACGTCTGCCCTTCGGCTCCTTCGCGTAGACTGCGATCACCGCGTCAGTGGGGAAGCGCTTGGCCACGTTGATCGTCGCGAACCCCGGGCCGCCCGCGCAGGCGTCGCTGTAGTCTGCCAATACGCCTCGCTGGAGTACATCGCGCAGATGCGCCGCACCCCCACGATGGGGGCGGAACCTCCTCGTCACCCGTCAGCGCGCGCACGTCGATCAGGTCTTTCCTCAGCTTGAACGCCTTCGCCACTGCGTTCACGATCTGCTTGCTCGGGGACCTCGCCGCGCCGCCCCCGATGCCCATCTCCTCCGGGCTAATACGTCGCGCCAACTCGTGCGTGCCAGCGCCCACCAGCCTTGCCCGGGTCGTCCGGCCAGGCGCCCGCTTGTGCCAGTGCCGGGCTCCGCCCGACCATGTCGGCGCGCATGTGGCCCCCGTCGCACCTGCGCTCGAGCCACCCAGGGAAACGCGAACCGCCGGGCACCATCACGCATGTCGGCTTGCGAATCGGGTCGCCGCAGTTGTCTACGAGCCCGTACATGCACTGGTGCAGCGCGACCGTCTCGTAGAGTGGCGGCATGTTCCCGCGCCAGCTCAGCAGGTCCACGATCGGAACTTCCCGCCGCGCCCAGCTGGTGGGGGGATTCTCGCCGATGCCGAGCCGTCCTCCTTCAGCCTGAAGCTTGAGCACCTCCGCCGAAAAGTCAATCAGCGGCCGAAGCTCCTGGACGAGGTTGCCCACCCGGTCGCCCATGCCCTGAGCACGCTGTAACTCTTGCATGCTCCCGTGGGCGGCACACGGGAATGCGACCGAAAACATCCAGGGCTTGAAGGCCCTAATCAAAAACAGGAAATCTGATCGCGTCTGAGGATCGTTGAAGTTCACGCCAACTGACAGGCCCGAGGGGGTCGCATTCGCGTGACCACCCTTCGAAGCTACATGGGTAAAGCGCGCCTCCTTCGCGAACAACTCCAAGAGAAACGTCTCGTTGTTGTCGCGCAGCACGTGGAAGATGGCCGCATACTCCCTCATGAGCTTGTCGATCCGCTTGAGCGCACCGTTCTTGAAGATCCCCTTGTTACCGTTCTTCGCGGCCTCCTGGGCCCACCGATCGGCGTCGTCCTTGACCTTGAAATCTGGCTTGGACACCTGCAGCGTCTCCGCGACCAGGAAAACCTCCAGCTCGACGTTCTCGACGTTGATGCGGAACTTCTCGAAGAGGGGCTCCGTCTCGTACGACTCCAGGTCGTAATCGAAAATGTCGATGCCCGCGCGGCCGCCTGGGAGCTTCACGAGCTCCTTGTCGTACACCCCGAGCTCCTGGAAATCGGCCCACTGGCCGTCCTCGCGCAGGTAGAGGTTCGCCATCCAATCCGCCAGGTTCTTCTTGCTCGCCAGGCCAATCATGTCGCCGGGGATCTCGAAGTACTCCTGCAGGACATGTTTCTTTCCAATACCGATCGGGGCGATCCACTTCTGTTTTTGCTTCGCGTCGCGCACCGCCGAGCCCCTGGAACTCCTGGCTCGCCTCGACGATGATGGGCTTCAGACCGTACTTCTCGAGCTCCGCCGCAATCTTATCCAGCCAGCCGCGCCCTGCCACCGCCACGGAGGCGCCGCTGTCTACCAGGGTAGCTGGCACGATCGTGCTCGAGATCATCGCGTCCACTTCTGGCACTTCCGGTAAGATCGGGTCGCTCCACGTTGACAATCATGACGTCGTGCTCGGCCGGCCCCTGGAACTTCCCCGTCACGAGCCTCGGGCTCTGGGCGCCCTTCTGGTGGAACATGTCCGGCATGACGCACACCAGCGCGGTCGTCGCCCAGAAACCCAGCCGTCGTGGACGAGATTGAGCCTTGGAGGTCTTGCCGCGGCCCTTGAAGCCTTTGCCTGCCGGCCTCGGGGGTCGCTGCGTCGGGAAGTCCGGTGCAGCGCGGCCCATCCTGCCGCAATTGGTGCACCTCTTGTCCTTGGACTTGCCTTTGCCGCCGTCCTTGCCCTTGCTGCCTTTGCCACCTTTCCCGGCGGCCTTGCCACCGGCCGCCGCGCTCTCGTCTACGACTCCGTCGATTCGTCCCTTGAAGAGGCCTCGAGCCGCCCGGATCTTGTTCATCTGGAGCCTGCTCTCGCGCGGCGTGACGAGGGCCTGCTGGTGCTCGTCGCCCTCGCTCGCGAGGTAGACGTCGGCGTCGTCCTCGATGTAGAACAGGTCGCTGCTGCCCCAGCCGTCGTCGCCATCCTCCGCGAACGCGTACTAACCGTACTCTTCGTCCAATTCGTACCAGTAACCGTCGTCGTCCTGGACCCAGTACCCGTCGTGCTCGACGTTCTGGTCCTCGTCGTCCGGGTCGCGCTCGCCGTCGTTGTAGTTCGCCCATCGCCAGCTCGTTCGCGATCCCCGACGATCCCAGCGCCGACCTCCACCTCGTGGGAAGAGGTTCTTCAGCGTCGCGCCAATCTTCTGGAAGTTGAAGGTCTCGTCTGCCCGTGCTATCACTAGATGGCGCTCGTCCTTGTCCAGTCCGCTTCCCTTCAGCGTGTGGTACCCTAGCTCGTTCGCACTGATCTTCGCGTCTGGGTCCACTTCCTCGAGATTGCGCTTCGCCACCTCCATCGCCGTACAAAACGCTGCCATCGGCCCTTCGCCCTTCTTCTCGAAGTGTGTCTGGTCGAAGAATTTCGGCAACTCCCTGAAAATGCTCTTGGCGAAGCGCTGCTCTTCGAGGAATCTCAGCAGTGTCTGGGCGCCGCCCTCCGTCGCGTAGTCCCGATCAGCACGCTAATGGAGTTGTCCGCGCCCAGCAGGTTCCTATACAGCTTCGGACCGAGCGCCTGCTTCGACTCTTTGTGAGCATTTTTTTATTCTGGGTTCCGGCTTTAGGCGCATGGGGGGGAGGGGGGGGGGTCCGGCTCTCGGCCCGTAGTCAATGCCTCCGATTGAATCATGTGGGGAATCCTGTGGGAGATGCCGGTGAGGGAATCCTAGGGGAGACCCCCCATGGGGGAATCGCGCAGCGGCTGCGCGGGGCTGCGCCAAGGCTATGCGTGATTTGGCAAGCCTGTGCCAGAATTGCTAGGGATCACCTATTCATGATTCCACGAGGCCGTCGCTGGCATAACAGGGGAGGGCCCAGCCCGAGGCATGCTTTCTGGCGATCGGGTCTGGCGCCCCTGAGCCCTTTCGTTGTGGTTCCAGAAGAGTAGCACGATAAAATGCGCACAGTTGCACACATCAGCGATTCGAGTTTCTACCGGGGGAGGGGGGGGGGCGCCGGCCCCTGTAGTTCGTCCGATCGATTGAAGCAGGTGCCAAACTCAGCCCGGAACTTCTCTACGGGGGGGGGAGGGGGGGGGGAGGGGCGTTCCGCCGAAAGCAAAAACAAATAATAAAAGAATGCTCACTTTGCTCTCGCAGCTCAACTCCGCTGCTTGAACTGCTCCCTTGTACCTGGTGAAATCCTTCAACGTCTCTCCCTTCAGCACCGGTATGTTCGGGTCTACTGCACTGTTATAGTCCGCCATGTCCGTAGTCTGCGAGATGGCCAGTCTCTCTTATCTCTCTCTTTCCGTCCTTGGAGCTGCGGGGCCAACCACAGGGTCCGCTACCAACCTCGTTCTGGCTGAGCCTCACTCTCGAAGATCGTCCCGTCGTCGAGGCTCGTCTCAGCACTGAACTCCGTCGTCTCTGCCGAAACCTCTATGGCTCCGCTGCCCCGATACTTCTGCTGTGGGGGAGGGGAGCCCGCATTTATCAGCTCGAACCCAAGCGCCGGCGCTGCATACACGCATGTTAGTAACCTGCAACATCCTATATTCCCACAGCAAACCCTCCGGAAATCTCTAGAAATCACAGCCCTTGTCAAAAGGAATCTTCGGCCTGAGACTTCACTAAGGCTAGGGACCCGAAACTTCAACGCCCTTTCGCGAAATGGTGCTGCGGCTGAAAACTTCGTCGAATTACATGACCACAGAGGTAAACTTGCGTGACGGCTACAAGGATGGTGGAGGCGGCGACAGGGGGATATCGCTGGACACCTCGCTGAAATGCAGGATTATTAATACTCGCATGCTTGACTACGCGTGAGCAAGATGCGCGGCTGTTCTTTTCAAAGTTGTAACCGCCAAAATAGCAGGCCCAACTGTAACGGTTTTTGAAGAAGGGGCTTCTTGCAGTGGGGAGGACTTGTGGGGGCATCTGACGAGGAGCCTTGAGACGGGAGGGTGTATTGCAGCATCGATTATGAATAGTATGACTACTCTGGTCCTTCTCCACATCCTCCTCCTCCTCCTCCTCCTCCTCCTCCTCCTCCTCCCCCTCCTCCTCCTCCTCCTCCTCCTCCTCCTCCTCCACCACCTCCTCCCCTCATCCCTCCTCCCTCCTCCCTCCTGCTCCTCCATCCTCCCTCCTCCCTCCTCCCTCCTCCCCCTCCAGCCCCTCCTCCTCCTCATCATCCTCATCCTCCCTCCTCCCTCCTCCCTCCTCCCTCCTCCCTCCTCCTCCCTCCTCCTCCTCCTCCTCCTCCTCCTCCTCCTCCTCCTCCTCCTCCTCTCTCCCTCTCCTCCTCCTCCTCCACCTCCTCCCTCCTCCTCCCTCCTCCTCCTCCTCCTCCTCCTCCTCCTCCTCCTCCTCCTCCCTCCTCCCTCGTCCTCCTCCTCCTCCTCCTCCTCCTCCTCCTCCTCCTCCTCCTCCTCCTCCTCCTCCTCCTCCGCCTCCGCCTCCGCCTCCGCCTCCGCCTCCGCCTCCGCCTCCGCCTCCGCCTCCGCCTCCGCCTCCGCCTCCGCTTCCGCCTCCGCCTCCGCCTCCCCCTCCTCCTCTTCATCCTCCTCGTCCTCCTCATCCTCCTCCATCTCATATGATTCCTCTTCTTCTGCTGCATGAGTCGCATTATTAGTCTTGACAATATTATAATCAGTGTTGTTATAATACGTCGCATGAGTAATGTGATTGGTGTTGTTCTCATTAGTAGCAGTATGAGTATGAGTATTAGCCGTGCTACGATAATGATTACTCATAATAGTAATGTGACCAGTACTGGTATAGCGGCTCGATTTAATATAAGCCCCCCTAGTATTATTACTACTATGCTTATTGGCAGTATTATTAGAATTGGCATTCCTCCTCCTCCTCGTCCTCCTCCTCCTCTTCCTCCTCCTCCTCCACCTCCTCCTCCGCCCCCTCCTCCCCATCCTCCTCATCCTCTCCTCCTCCTCCTCCTCCACCTCCTCATCATCATCCTCACCAGCAGCCTCATCATCATCATCATCAGCAGCAGCATCAGCATCAGCGCAGCATCAGCAGCAGCATAATCATCATCAGCATCATCATCAGCAGCAGCATCATCAGTATCAGCGTCATCATCCGAAGCATGATGATCATCATCATCAGCAGCAGCAGCATCATCATCCGCATCATCAGCATCAGCATCCTCATCATCGGCAGCAGCATCACCATGAGCAGCAGCAGCCGCCGCATCATCCTCATCATCACCAGCATCATCCCAACCAGCAGCAGCAGCCGTATCATCAGCAACGGAAGCATCATCAGCATCAGCATCAGCATAAGCATCAGCATCATCATCATCAGCATCAACAACATCAATATCAGCATCATCAGCATCAGCATCATCAGCATAATCCTCATCAGCATCAGCATCATCAACATCACCATCATCATCCGCATCAGCATTGGCATCATCATCAGCATCGGCCTCATCAGCAGCATCATCATCAGCAGCACCAGCATCAGCAACAGCATCATCATTAGCATGGTCAGCATCAGCAGCATCATCGTCATCAGCATCAGCATCATCATCGTCGTCATCAGCAGCATCATCGGCCACCTCAGCAGCATCACCATCGTCAGCAGCATCAGCCGCATCATCAGCAGCACCAGCATCAGCAGCACCAGCATCATTAACCGCAGCATCAACAGTATCATCAACAGCAGAATCATCAGCATCAGCATCTGCATCATCATCAGCATCAGCATCAGCATCATCATCAGCAGCATCATTCGCGTCGTCAGCATCATCAACATCAGCATACGCGGCATCATCATCATCATCATCATCATCATCATCATCGTCATCATCAGCAGCATCCTCATCATCAGCATCCTCAGCTACAGCAGCAGCACCATCATCAGCATGATCCTCAGCCCCATCATCCACAGCATCAGCATCATCATCGTCATCATCATCAGCGTCATCAGCATCATCAACATCATCATCAGCATCATCAGTGTACTCATCATCGTCCTCTTCATCATCAGCAGCAGCATCAGCATCATCATCTGAATCAGCATCAGCAGCATCATAATCGTCATCATCAGCATCATCATCAGCGTCGTCATCGTCTTCATCATCATCATCAGCATCATCAAAATCGTCGTCGTCATCGCCATCGTCCACACCGACATCATCACCACCATCCTCGTCAGCACTATCGTCAGCCGCATCAGTATCATGATCAGCATCATTATCAGCATCATCAGCTTCATCATCAGCAGCAGCATTGCCAGCATCATCATTATCATCAGCAGGGTCATCAGCATCATCATCATAGAAATCGTCATTATCAGCGTCGTCTGCATCCTCAACATCACCATTGTCATCATCAGCAGCAGCATCATCATCAGCAGCATCAGCAGCAGCATCGGCAGTATCAGCATCATCATCGTCGTCATTGGCAGCAGCAGCATCAGCATCATCAGCATCATCAGCGAAATCGGCATCATCATCCTCATCGCCATCGTTATCGTCATCATCGTCTGCATCATCAGCAGCATCATCATTGGCATCATCATCATAATCACATCGTCATCATCATTTTCAGCATCAGCATCAGCATCAGCAGCATCATCATCATCATCATCATCATCATCAGCAGCATCAGCATCATCATCATTGTCAGCATCATCCTCGTCATCATCAGCATCAGCATGCTCATCATAATCAGCATGTTCATCAGCATCAGCAGCAGCAGACTCATCATCATCAGCAGCAGCATCAGCATAATCATCATCAGCATCAGGATGGTTATCAGCATCATCATGGCCATCCTCAGCAGTATCATAATCAGCATAAGCAGCATCATCAGCATCAGCAACATCATCGTCATCATCGGCAGCCGCAGCATCAGCATCATCACCATGATCATCATCATTATCACCACCAACATCAGCAGCATCTTCATCATCATCCTCATCATCATCAGCATAAGCAGCACCATCAGCAGCATCATCATCAGCATCATCATCAGCATCATCATCAGCAGCAGCATCATCATCATCATCATCATCATCATCATCATCATCGTCGTCGTCGTCGTCGTCGTCGTCGTCGTCGGCGGCGGCGGCGGCGGCGGCGGCGGCGGCGGCGGCAGCAGCAGCAGCAGCATCCTCATCCTGATCCTCATCCTCATCCTTCTCCGCCTTCTCCCCTTCCGCCTGCCCCTCATCCACCTCCTCCGTCTCACCTCCCCAGCCGCCCCATCCTCTCCTCCCCTCTATCCATTCGCCCAAGGGGGGGAGGGGGGAGGGGATGGCAAGCGACAGGCTCGACCAACCCAGAGATCCGACGTCACCTTTCTTCCATGGCGGTGGGCCACTGGAACCATCGCCCCCCTCCCAAGGACTGGCTCTTCCCCATCCCAGATCGTTCCGAGCCCCCCCGCGCCTCTAGGGGGAGCGGGAGGGAGGGAGGGAGGGAGGGAGGAGGAGGAGGAGGAGGAGGAGGAGGAGGAGGAGCAGGAAGAGGAGGAGGAGGAGGAGGAGGAGGAGGAAGAGACGGAGAACGTGAAAAAGAAAGGACCGCCGCTGTTCTTCCGTGGCGCTGGAGGGTCTGTGGAGGGAACAAACACGGTAACAAGGACCAAGACTGAACATGGAAGCCTCGGTGCCAAGATTGGTCACCGTCCATCCTGGTCACCGTCTAGGTCGTGGACCAGCCTCGCGATCGACGACGGCCAGCCATGGACCATGCCCAGGACCGAAGTCGGCAAGAAGGTGCGACACCCTGGCCACGGTCAGCGTGCTTTTGTGGGGGGCGGGCGCAGCGGTGACTACCGATGCCACTACTCCCTGGACACCTCTCCTGGAGCACGTCCTGCCCAGGAAGTTCCGAAGAGTGTCCAGCCGTGGCGACGACGGAAGGGTAAAAGCGTTCGGTGGCAGCTCAGGGGAGCCTGCCGTGCCGTCTTGTCGGCTCTTGCCGAAGCGGCGCTGGTCGACGCCAACCGACTCGGATCGACCCCGAGTCTGCGCTACATCGGCGCGAATCGACGCTCCCCGGCGCTAGAGTCGGAATTACTTGCCGGCCTGGAACACATCCCTCTCCCCATGTTGGGCATCGCCTCGTCACGATGGCGGTCTTCGGGATTCCCCCGGTTCCTGAGGGTGCCTCCCTGAAGATTGTCCTCGCCTTCTGGCGTGCCAATCCTAGGGGGAGGAGGAAGGGGAGGAGGAGGAGGAGGAGGAGGAGGAGGAGGAGGAGGAGGAGGAGAGGAGGAGGAGGAGGAGGAGGAAGGGGAGGAGGAGAAGGGGAGGAGGAGAAGGAGGAGGAGGAGGAGGAGGAGGAGGAGGAGGCGGGGGACGAGCTCGAGGCTGGTGAGCGAAAGGGCTGCACACCAGGCTCCCACGATCTGCCCCCGAGGCGGGCCGCGGTGCTGGCAGCGCCTCCGCTTCCGACCCTCCCCCCCCCTCCTCCTCCTCTTTCTCCTCCCCCTCCTCCTCCTCCTCCCCTCCTCCTCCTCTCCTCCTCCTCCTCCTCTCCCTCCTCCTCCTCCTCCTCCTCCTCCTCCTCCCGAGCTGGGGCCCCCGGGGGCCTCCCAGGCGGAGCCGCTGCTGCGGTGGGACGTCCAGCCGCGGAACCACCTGTGAGGGGCAGCGGTCTGACTACCTACCAGACCACCCCAACCCAACCCGAAGACCCGAATTTCGGGTTGGGGGGGGGTAAGGGTTTCATATGTGTTTTCTCAACACTCCCCGACCCCCCCCCCACTGGAAATGGAGGGCAATTTGGAGCCTTCGGGTTGGGTTGGGGTGGTTTGGTGGGTGGTGACAGAGGGCTCCAAGGACGCACCAGTATAAACGCACACAGCTCCCAGGATCCCCGAGTTCCCTCATAGATCTTTTCTGGGGGCTCGTTTGTTCCCCCCCCCCCCGCCCTCCTTGCCCTCTTTTCCCGCCCTTTTTTGCTGACCATCGACGACGACTCGTGCCTGTGTGTGCTTCCCCTCCTGGGCTGGGGGGAGCCAGCCCAGGGGGGGACCCGTCGAGCTCGACGCGGCGAGGCATCAGCGCGACGGATCGACGACAGGCCCCCGGATGGTGCAGCCGCACGGCCCTGGGCAGGGTGGGCCATCGGACCCCCCCTTCAGCGGCGAGGAATGGGCAATCGAGGGTCGACGCGTCCCTCCTGGGCCGATCCCTCCCCGACGTTGCTGAAGGGGCCCCAGGACACACACACACAAATAGATACGCACACATAAAAATATAAACCATATTTTCCTATACTTTCTGGGTTTTTGTCTTCCCCCCCACTTCCCAGATTCTCCCATATGTTTTCTGGGGGGTCGACGATGCATTGTGTCTGTGTGTTTTTTCCCTCCTGAGTTACCCCTGTCGAAGATCGACAGAGCCCCCATTCTCAAGAGGCCCTTTCGAAGAAGACTGCCACCAGGCACTCCGCTGGCCCGCGGCACCGCATTCCGAGTAGCTAGTCGACGTCCAGAAACTTGTTTTTTATACGTCGGCGGCGAGGCAGGGGTCGTCTGCGCTAGCGGAAAGAACTAGAGCTTGGATGCCGTTGAAGCGAATTGTGCCACCATGCAGGGCAGGGGGAGAGTCGACGTCGAAAAAAACGCAAAAGGTACCAGAAAAAGCGCGCGCCGAGTCACGAAAACAGCCGGGAACTGCACCCAGCACACCCGAGTGCCAACGCCGAGTGCACCAGCGCAGATGTCCTCCGTCGAAGTCTGCCTGGGTGGGGCGCTCCATCCTGAGCAGGGGCCAACCGTCCAGGCATCCCCACAGGCCCACAACGACATGTCCCCAGAGCAAGCGCACTTCCAAACAACAACAACAACAACAACAACAACAACAACAACAACAACTACAACAACAACAACAACTACAACAACAACAGCAACAACAACAACCACAACCACAACCACAACAACAACAACAATAACAATAACAATAACAATAACAACAATCTTTTCAAGACTGTTCGCTCTTTCTGCTCGGGTGTGATTCAATAGGCATATCCCAAACCCTGGATACCCGCCCTCTTCGTCTTCGATCGTACCCCCTTTTGGGGGGTAGATTCATTCCCTGCCACGTGTGGTAAATTGCAAGGAAGTCCCAAGCGAGAGCGCGATTCTTCAATAAATTGTAAGGAAGTATCAGGCGGGAGCCGCTGTTGTTGTAAACCGGGGGGCCGACGACACAGTTTGACCCTCAAGACTTTCCCTGATAAAAAACCAGGTGCCATGCCCGGGAAGGGCACTTCAATCGAAAAAAACAATGTGCACCGCACGGGGGGGATCAACAATAATTACTCTTCAGATATGAGAGTTCAACAACAACAATAGTCATTTTAAGACTGTTCGCCCTTATCAGCTCAAGTGTCCAATAACGCGTAATTCCCAAACCCTCCATACCCGCCCTCCTCGTCTTCGATCGAACCCCTTTTGAGGGGTATACCTTTCTTCCCTGCAGGCCGGGCCCTGGCAAGCGGCGGGGCGGCCGCGGACCGTTGGCCTGGCCAGCGGCAGCGCTGATCGGCGGGGCGGCCGCGGACCGTCGACCCGACCCCAAGAGGGACGGACAGGAGACCAACCACGACGACGACGACGACGACGACGACGACGACGTCGACAACGACGGCGACGACGACGACGACGGCGACGACGACGACGACGACGAGCGAAAGCGAGAGCGAGAGAGAACGACAGCAGGACCACAAGGACACGAAGTAGGCCACGAATGGCGACAGCGGGGACACGGAGGGCATGCATATGGGGCCACGAAGAGCGCGAACAAGCGAGGTCCACGAAGGGCAATGCGGGGCCACAGAAGGCAACGATGGGGCCACTGAGGGTAGCAACTGGGCCACGTAGGACAGTGAGGGAGCCACAAACGGCGACAGCGGGGCCACGGAAGGCATGCATATGGGGCCACCACGGGCGCGAACGAGCGGGGGCCACGAAGGGCATACGTATACTGGGCCGCGGAGGGCAAGGACGGGGCCACTGAGGGCAGCAACGGGGCCACGAAGGGCAGCGAGGGGGCCACGAAGGGCGACAGCGGGGCCACGAAAGGCATGCATATGGGGCCACGAAGGGCGCGAACGAGTGGGCGCCACGAAGGGCATACATATATGGGGCCACGAAGGGCTGCAACGGGGCCACGAAGGGCTGCGACGGGGCCACGAAACAAAGCGAGGGGGCCACGAAGGGCTGCAACGGGGCCACGAAGGGCTGCGACGGGGCCACGAAGGGCAGCGAGGTGGCCACGAAGGGCTGCAACGGGGCCACTAAACAAAGCGAGGGGGCAACGAAGGGCTGCAACGGGGCCACCACGGGCAGCGAGGCCACGAGGTGCTGCAACGGGGCCACGAAGGGCAGCGAGGTGGCCACGAAGGGCTGCAACGGGGCCACGAAACAAAGCGAGGGGGCCACGAAGGGCTGCAACGGGGCCACGAAGGGCTGCGAGATTCCGATTCCTAGGTAATCTGTGAGGGAGTCCGAAGCGTGAGCGCGACTCCTGGGTGCCTGGGTGTCGGGAGCGCGGCGCTTGAACAAATCGCAAGTAATTCCAACGCAAGGGCGCTATTCGTCAGTAAATTGCAAGCAAGTCTCCAGCGAGAGCGCGACTCCAGAGCGCCGGGAGAGCGATTCCTGCATAGATTATAAGGAAGTCCCCAGCGAGAGCGCGATTCCTGAATAAAATGCGTGGAAATCTCGGGCGGGAGCGGGGCTCCTGGCTAAATTGTGAAGACGTCTCAGGCGGGAGACGTTGTTGTAACCCCGGGGCCAGGGGCACAGTGTGAGTAGCAAGACTTTCCCTGATATAAAAAACAGGGTGCGAGCGTCGAGGGGCACAATTTGATTGATAAAAACAGTATGCACCGGTGGGGGGATCAACAATAATTATTTTTCAGAAGTGAGAGCTCCACAACAACAACAACAACAACAAGAACAACAACAACAACAACAACAACAACAATCAGTTTAAGACGGTTCACTCTTACTGGCACGCGTGTCCTGCATTCCGTATACCCCAACCCTCGATACCCGCCAAGTTCGTCTTCGATTGCACCCCCTTTCGGGGGGAATCTCTTCCTTGTCGGCCACTGACTGAAGTGCGAGGAACTCTCGAACGACAGCGCCGTTCCTGAGTTCGGGGGCCTCTCTGGTAAAGGGCCCTCGGAATACCTATGGAGAAATATCGAACGGGAGCCCATGTCGCCGCGTCCGGGCCTCCACCAACTTGCCCGAATTACGGGAAAGTCTCGAGAGAGAGCGCAGTTCCTGAGTTCGGGGGCCTTTTTGGCCAAGGGCTCTCGGAGTAAATCGCGAGGAAATACCGCGCAGGAGACCGTGTCGTCGTGGCTGGGCCTCCGCCAACTGAATTGAATTGCGACGAAGTCTCGGGCGAGAGCGCCGTTCCTGAGTTCGGGGGCCTCTCTGGCCAGGGTGTCTCGGGGTATATTGTGAGGAAGTATCGAGCGGGAGCCGTTGTTGTCGTAGCTGGGCCCCCACGGGCCCAGATTTAGGGCCAAGCCCAACGCTCGAGCGGTAGCTTCGTTTTCAGCGAAAATGTAGCCGGCGTCGAGGCGGCGCGCGGAACCGTTTCCGGAGATCACCAAAAAATATTCGTTATATAAATGAATGTTCAACAACAACAACAACAACAACAACAACAACAACAACAACAACAACAACAACAACAACAAAGACGACGACGACGACGACAACAACAACAACAATAATAACAACAACAACAACAACAACAACAACAACAACAACAGCAGCAGCAGCAGCAGCAACAACAAAAATAACAATAACAATAACGAAAACAGTAACACGAACAATAACAATAACAGTAACAATAACAATAACAATAGCAGCAGCAGCAGCAGCAACAACAACAACAATGATAAGTTTGAGGCTGTTCGCCCTTTTCTGCTCGAGTGTCCAACAACGCGCATTTCCCCCCCAAAAAAAACCCTCGATACCCGCCCTCTTCGTCTTCGATCGAACCCCTTTGGGGGGGTCGATTTTTTTCCCGGAAAGGGCATAGGCCCAGGGTTCTCTTTTAGTATGTAAACATGTCCCCGGTGCCCAACTTGAAGGAGGCCGGCGGATTCTTTCCCTGATAAATATCGAAGTCGAAGGAGGCCGGCGGATTAAAATTTGAGGATGTCTCAGGCGAAACGCTTGTTTTTGAAATCCCGATCGATAAATCACAGGGTGCGGGACACCTCAGCACGACCACACCCCCAGCATGACCACACCCCAGCACGACCACGCCCAGCACGACCACGCCCCAGCACGACCACACCCCAGCACGACCACACCCCAGCACGACCACACCCCAGCACGACCACACCCCAGCACGACCACACCCCAGCACCAGCACGACCACACCCCAGCACGACCCGATCGATAAATCACAGGGTGCGGACCACCCCAGCACGACCACACCCCAGCACGACCCCACCCCAGCACGACCCCACCCCAGCACGACCACGCCCCAGCACGACCACACCCCAGCACGACCACACCCCAGCACGACCCCACCCCAGCACGACCCCACCCAGCACGACCACACCCCAGCACGACACACCCCAGAACGACCACACCCCAGCACGACCCCACCCAAGCACGACCCCACCCCAGCACGACCACACCCCAGCACGACCACACCCCAGCACGACCCCACCCCAGCACGACCCCACCCCAGCAAGACCACACCCCAGCACGACCACACCCCAGCACGACCTCACCACAGCACGACCACACCCCAGCACGACCACGCCCCAGCACGACCACGCCCCAGCACGACCACGCCCCAGCACGACCACCCCCCAGCACGACCCCCCCCAGCACGACCACCCCCCAGCACGACCACCCCCCAGCACGACCACACCCCAGCACGACCACTCCCCAGCACGACCACACCGCCTTGGTTGAGTGGTTGCCTGTCGTCGTGGAATGTTTCGTGGGGTGTCTCGTGGAATGTTTCGCGGGGTGTCTCGTGGAATGTTTCGTGAGGTGTCTCGTGGAATGTTTCGTGAGGTGTCTCGTGGGATGTTTCGTGAAGTGTCTCGTGGGATGTTTCGTGAGGTGTTGCCCAGTTGGGTATTGTGAAAACGTGTCCATGCTCCACATGTCTATATCCCTTTCCGGGTTCGTGTGTCCATCATGTTCCCTGCAGGCCGGGCCCCGGCAAGCGGCGGGGCGGCCGCGGACCGTCGGCCTGGCCAGCGGCAGTGCTGATCGGCGGGGCGGCCACGGACCGTCGACCCGACACCAAGAGGGACGGACGGGGGACCGACCACGACGACGACGACGACGACGACGACGACGACGACGGCGACGACGACGACGGCGACGACGACGGCGACGGCGACGACGACGATGACGAGCGAAAACGAGAGCGAGAGAGAACGACAGCAGGGCCACAAGGACACGAAGTAGGCCACGAAGGGCGACAGCGGGGACACGAAGGGAATGCGTACGGGGCCACGAACAGCGCGAACGAGCGGGGGCCACGAAGGGCAGATAATGCGAGGCCACTGAAGGCAACGATGGGGCAATTGAGGGTAGCAACTGGGCCACGTAGAACAATGAAGGGACCACAAACGGCGACAGCGGAGCCACGAAGAGCATGCACATGGGGCCACAACGGGCGCGAACGAGCGGGGGCCACGAAGGGCATACGTATACTGGGCCGCGAAGGGCAAGAACGGGGCCACTGAGGGCAACAACGGGGCCACGAAAGGCCCCCTCGAAGGGCGACAACGGGGCCACGAAAGGCATGCATATGGGGCCACCACGGGCGCGAACGAGCGGAGGCAACGAAGGGCATACATATATGGAGCCACGAAGGGCAACGAGGGGGCCACGAAGGGCTGCAACGGGGCCACTAAGGGCAGCGAGGGGGCCACGAAGGGCTGCAACGGGGCCACGAAGGACTGCGACGGGGCCACGACGGGCAGCGAGGTGGCCACCAAGGGCAACGACGGGGCCACGAAACGAAGCGAGGGGGCCGCGAAGGGCTGCAACGGGGCCACCACGGGCAGCGAGGAGGCCACGAGGTGCTGCAACGAGGCCACGAAGGGCAGCGAAGGGGCCACGAAGGGCTGCAACGGGGCCACGAAACAAAGCGAGGGGGACACGAAGGGCTGCAACGGGGCCACGAAGGGCTGCGAGATCCCGAGTCCTAGGTAATCTGTGAGGGAGTCCGAAGCGTGAGCGCGACTCCTAGGCGCCTGGGTGTCGGGAGCGCGGCGCTTGAAAAATTATAAGTAATTCCAACGCAAGGGCGCTCGTCGGTAAATTGCAAGCAAGTCTTCAGCGAGAGCGCGACTCCAGAGCGCCGGGAGAGCGACTCCTGGATGAATTGTAAGGAAGTCCCAGGCGAGAGCGCGATTCCTGAATAAAATGCGAGGAAGTCTCGGGCGGGAGCGGGCGTCCTGGCTAAATTGTGAAGACGTTTCAGGCGGGAGCCGTTGTCGTTGTAACCCGGGGGCCAGGGGCGCAGTTTGAGCATCAACATTTCCCCTGTCTAAAAAAATAACAATAAAAAATGCGAACGTCGAGGAGCACACTTCGATAGAGGAAAAAAGGACGCACCGGCGGGGGGGGGGATCAACTATAGTAATTCTTCTGGAATGAAAGTTCTACAACAACAATAACAATCAGTTTGAGACTGTTCGCCCTATCTGCTCGGGTGTCATTCGGTATGCACGCCCCGAACCCTGGATACCCGCCCTCTTCGTATTCGATCGTTCCCCCTTTTTGGGGGTATATTCATTCCCTGCCACGCGTGGTTGGCGCAGGCCTTGGAAACGAAGGGCAGCAGATAACGGGGGGGAATGAGGACGAAGGTCTCGGAGGAAGGGAAGGGGGGCAAGAAGGAGGGAAAACGATGATTTGTGCTGCGGGTGGCGATTCACCTTGCGCCATGGTTTGCGCCAGCCACTCTAACACAGGTTAACAATAAGTTTCGCCATGGGTCGCGCCACCAACAGCGCCACGCACCACCCCCTTGGAGACAGATCGTGGATACCCCCACGGGGGGACGCACAGCTGCGAACTGGCGTCAGAAACAAATTTCGTGGAACCCTGAAAAGAAGAGGGATGTCGGGAGAGTGGGGCGGAAAAGTCGCGAGAACTGAAACCGCGTCGAGAGGAGCGCGGGGATGTGGAGTGGATAAGAGTAGGGCCCCAGGAGGAGGAGCGGCAAGGAGTGGAGAAAAGGAACCAGGAGGGGTGCGGAGGAGCGGGGGGCGCACGGAGGAATCTGGAGGAGGGACTGGGAATAATTTTGGAAAAATGCGGAATGCGAGCGGGAAGGGGTGGAGATTGTTGGGGTGGGATGGGGTGGCCTGGGGAGGAGTGGGCGGAGTGCGAAGACCTGAGGGATAGCACAATGGAGTACGAACGAAATGAGAATGAAGATAAAGGGAATGAGCAGAGGATACGAGGAAAGAACGTTGAAAAGTGGGGGCAGGTGGATACGAGCGGAGACTGGTGCGGAAACTAAATGCGGGGGGGCTGAAAGGCACCCGAAAGCCTCCTATGACCTCTGGTGGGCCTCGGAATAGCCCCGATGTCCACCGAGCAGTTCCAGAGCCTCCGAAAAACCTGCGGGCACGCAGGCGGGAGCCGTTGTTGTCGCGGGCCACGACGGGCGCGAACGAGCGGGGGCCACGAAGGGCATACGTATAGGGGGCCGCAGAGGGCAGCGACGGAGCCGCTGAGGGCAGAAACGGGGCCACGAAGGGCAGAGAGGGGGCCACGGAAAGCAACTGCGGAGCCACGAAGGGCATGCATATGGGGCCACGACGGGCGCGAGCGAGCGGGGGCCACGAAGGGCAATTAATCCGGGGCCACAGAGGGCAGCGACGGGGCCGCTGAGGGCAAAAACGGGGCCACGAAGGGCAGAGAGGGGGCCACGAAGGGCGACAGCGGGGCCACGAAGGGCATGCATCTGGAGCCACGACGGGCGCGAACAAGCGGGGGCCACGAAGGGCATTCGTATATGGGGCCACAGAGGGCGACAGCGGGGCCACTGAGGGCAGCAAAGGGGCCATGAAGGGCAGCGAGAGGACCACGAAGGGCGACAGCGGGGCTACGAAGGGCATGCGTATGGGGCCACGACGGGCGACTGCGAGCGGGGGCCACGAGGGGCATAGAATGCGGGGCCACAATGGGCAGCGACGGGGCCACGAAGGGCAGCAACGGGGTCACGAAGGGCAGCGAGCGAAGGCGACCGCGGAACCAGTACGGGCAGCGAGGGGCATCGAAGGCGGGCGAAGGGCAGCGAGCGGCGATTGCAGTCCCTAACGGGCTGGTCGGGCGGGCAAGCCCAGACGGGCGGGTCGAGCAGGCGGGTCGTTGAAGCGTAAATTCTGCTTGAACCGCCAGGCAATATGTAGCGGGAGCGCGACTCCGGAGTGTCGAGGAGCGGCATCTGAATAAAATGTAAGGAAATATCAAGCGGGAGCCGCGATTCGGCAGTAAGTTGCGAGGAAGTCCCAAGGGAGAGCGCGATTCGTCAATACATTGTAAAGAAATATCAAGCGGGAGCCGCGATCCGGTGGTAAATTGCAAGGAAGTCCCAAGCGAGAGCGCGATTCTTCAATAATCGTTTTTTTTAATGATGAGGCGGGAGCCGGTGTTGTTGTAAACCGGGGGCCAACGACACAGTTTGACCCTCAAGACTTCCCCTGATAAAAAACAGGGTGCGAGCCCCGGGAAGGGCACTTTAATCGAAAAAGCAATGTGCACCAAACGGGGGGGGATCAACAATAATTATTCTTCAAAAATGAGAGTTCAGCAGCAACAACAACAACAACCACAACCACAACCACAACAACAACCACAACCACAACCACAACCACAACCACAACCACAACCACAACCACAACAACAACAACAACAACAACAACCACAACAACACCAACAAAACAACAACAACATCAACAACAATATCAATGTTTGTAGAACATCCAACCGATTGCTTGGTTACAGCAAGGCCGTCTCAGCCAGAAATGCTCTGATGACACTCTGTGCTAAAAACAAAAAGTGGCCCACAGGCAAGTCAAGACGCTTCGCCACTACCTGACTATCAGTACCCAACCCGGACCACCCCGTCAGGCCGCGGTCGCGGCTCTTCGGGCGACCAGTGCTGCTGCCGGAGGAACTCGACGTGCTCCCGGACGTCTCGGTCCCCGACGTGTCCCCGCCGCCATCGCCCTGCAGAGAGGCGGGATGAGCTGTGGCCGAGGCCGAGATCGGGCTCGTCGGAGGGCGCCACATACGCGAGGCGGGATTTTTCCATACCCACCGCCTGGGAGCCGACGTCCTGGGGGCCCAGCAGGCGGTGGATATGGATATGAGTTAGCCCCCCGGGGCCCGAATGCATCGATACCTACAGCCTGTGGAGGTCCGCAAAGATCGATCCCCCAGGCGGTTTCGGTGGCAGCTCATGGGAGCCTCCCATACCATCTTGCCGGCTCTTGCGAATCGGCGCTAATCGGCGCTAGTCGACGCTACCCGACGCTACATCGACACGAAACGAGGCTAACAACGCGAAACCAGCACGACCTCACCCAGCCCCAGACGCTAATCGACGCCACCCGACGCCAAAGACGGCATTACCAGGGGAAACCAGGCTCCCATGCTTTGCTGACGAAGGTTGGCCCTGAGGGGCCCGACTATATATCCGTACCCACCGCCTGAAACTGCGCACGCCGGTCGGACGCAGCAGGTACAAACAGGAAACAGGAAGGCGGAGAAAGCAGCCTGGGCTCAGCCAGGCCAGGAGGGCGGAACGGAAACGATCCTGGGCCCCGGGGCGGGCCCCGCCAGGACCGGTGCAGAAGGAGGGTGCAGCAGCGGGCGCCCGCCGAGCTCGGGCGCTCTCTTGCCCCCGCTTCCTGCCCCAGACGCTTCCCGAGGCCCGGCTTCTGCAGCTCGGGCGCAGAGCGCAGATACAGTTCAGGGTGACCCGGCCTGGTGGTGCGTGCCGGGGGACGCCCTTCCCGCCGTCACTCCACGGACTGGAACGCCGATCTGCCCCCCATGATGAAGACGCCGCGGCAGAAGGCCCCTGAAACGCGACCCAGGAACTTTGAGCTCCGCTCACGCACGGCGACAGCCGAACGTCTAATGTGCACTGTGCCAGTCCTTCCTAGACATGCGAGCAAATAAATCGCGCTGCAGGCAACGTCATCGAAGTACAGAAGTAAACCAGAGCGTGAAAAGGGTACTATGTGGTCTTCACCCGCGCGTGCGTAGACCAGTCCGAAAAACACCAGCTGCGGGAGACCTGGTTCAGCGATTCCAATCCACATGTTGGACCTCGGGGCCCAAACACTAACCGGCAGCCCTTAACCGGGGTCCTGGCCATACCCGACTGATAGAAGGATGCGCGGTAAGGATGCAAGCCCCCTGTACGCCCATGTAGAGGCTCTTCGAGCAGGGCTGGCCATCGAAAGTGGTCAGAGGTGGACCAAAGAGACAAGGATGCAAGGGTACCCTTGGGAAGGTTGCCCATCCCCATCAACGACTTCGACAGTGTGCAACCAGCAGCTGGAGGGATAAAATCTGCCGGCCCCCGTTGTGGGGGCCACCATGCTGCATGCATGGACGAGGTTCCTACGTCCTGCCTCCAGTCCTCAGCTCCTCGGCTCACGTGCCAGTTCTGGTGCAGTTCCTCTGTTCCAAGGCGTCGGGTGTTACAAATCATCGCTCCCCGCTCCAAGGTTGGAAAACTGCAGAGCGCGCGACTCCACCCGGCCGGAAAGGAACGCGCTGCATGATCGAGATCACGTGCTCAGAACTTCGGGGTGCACTGAGAGACGCAAAAAGCTACTCCAGATTTCGTAATAAAGGGAGGGGGGTCTCATTTCGGGGGGGGGTCTCTTCCAGGCTATCTTGGAGGGCCTGGGGGGTTCTGGGGACGATATTTTGGAGGATTCTCCCACGGGGGAGGTCTGAAGTTGCTTGTCTTGGAGGGTCCAGACCCCCTCCCTTTCATTACGAAATCTGGAGTACAGGTGCGCGCTGCTGCTGGGGCCCCACTCACAAAACATGCAAGCCCCAAGGACCACAATCCCTTTCAAATTCCATCGCGCTGGCGCTCCCGGGGCAGCAGTCCCTGGCGAAGTGCGTCGCCTTCGCGCTCCCGAGGCCACAGCCCCTCGCAAACCGCAACGCCGTCACACTCCCGAGGCCACGATGCTCTCTGCGAGTTGCAATTCCTCCTCGTCCTCCTCGTCCTCCTTGTCCTCCTCGTCCTCCTCCTCCTCCTCGAAATCCTCCCCCTTCTCCACCTCCTCCTCCTCCTCCACCTCCTCCTCCTCCTCCTCCTCCTCCTCCTCCTCCTCCTCCTCCTTCCCCCCTCCCCATATTTATCCTCCTTCTCCTTCTCCTTCTCCTCCTCCTCCTCCTCCTCCTCCTCCTCCTCAACAATTCGCGCACTCGAAATTTCGACCCAATTCAAATTGCGACTGATTCGCGCCCGAGGCCGCAATCCCTAGCAAATTGCAACAATAACAATCTCGCAACGCACTCGCGACCCCGAGGTCGCAAGCCCGAATACATGACGAGCCGCACGTTCCCGGGGGCAGCCACGACTCGTGAGTCACAAAAGATGCGCACTCCCGAGGCCACCATCCTACAAGCAGGCAAAACCAGACAGCCAGCAGATGGCCCAGACGAGGAGGAGGAGGAGGAGGAGGAGGAGGAGGAGGGATGAGGAGGAGGAGGAGGAGGAGGAGGAGAAGGAGGAGGAGGAGGAGGGAGGAGGAGGAGGAGGAGGAGGAGGAGGAGGAGGGAGGAGGAGGAGGAGGAGCAACTGCCAACCATCTGCTTAGACAAAAGGCCGGGCAGCCGAGCTGCCAGCCAGCCAACGGCTTGAGAACGAACCAGATCCAGCGGGTCCGTGCAGGCAGTATCGAGGGGGAGGCGGCAGAAGGCGAAGCCCTTCAGATACTGCTTCGTTGTTTTACATAGCGATGCAAGTATACGCGTGTGCGATGTATGTGTACTTGTGTGTATATATAGATTACATCTACCTGCATAAGTATATTCACACATGCATGCATGCATGCATGCATGCATGCATACGTACGTACGTACGTACGTACATACATACATACATACATACATACATACATACATACATACATACATACAGACAGACAGACAGACAGACAGACAGACAGACAGACATACATGCATGCAGGCATGCAGGCATACCGTACCGTACCGTACCATACCATACCATACCACACCATGCCATACCATGCCATACAATACAATACAATACAACACAACACAATGCATGCATGCATGCATGCATGCATGCATGCACGCACACATACACACATACATACATACATACATACATACATACATACATACATACAGACAGACAGACAGACAGACAGACAGACAGACATACCTGCATGCATGCATGCATGCATGCATGCATGGATGCATACATACATACATGCATACATGCATACATACATGTATGCCTACACACACACACACATGCAAACAAATGTGTTTGTATGCATGCGTCCGTGCGTTGACGCGTATAAGTTGAAAAGTGCATGGGCTGTGTATGCGTGTGTATATATAACTGTATCTACAAGTATGTGAATAGATGCATTCATGGTAAAAATATACGTACACGCATGTATATTCAACACAACGAGTCTTGCAAATACTATACAGCATCAAAAAAATATAGATCCACCACCGTGCCCCGAGGCACGAAGTGGAGTGTCCTCAAATCCCTTCGAGCCCTCTGCTCTGAATATTGGGTCAAGTAAATCACATCTACGCAGCCTCAGAAGACCAATCTCCAGATTTCCAGGAGCGGGTCGCGTGACTTGTGGGCCAGCCGCGTGACTTCTGGGTACCGTCGCGTGACTTTCCCAATGGCCGGCGGAGCGTAGTTTGGCATGGATCTGCATGACACGGGTCATCGCGGCACTGCGCCAGCTAATTTGTGCCAACGAGTTGCGAGCGGGTCGGAAGGATGCTTGCTCGAGCACTGGAGTAGGGGAAGACGGCACAAGACATCCTAAGAGAGAGCCCCAGAACGCCCAAGAGGCTCCAAAATGACCCTAACCGGCCCCGGATGGGGCCATAAGCGCCCCAAACGACCCCCCAGACTGCCAGAACATTGCAAAACTTTTCGGCTGGGGGCTGCAGAGGTCCCCAGATGGCGTCCAGAGGAATCAGAATCTTCTTCTTCAGCTCGACATTGGAGAAGAGGGAGGAAAGCTGAGGGGACGACCGCGACGCAGCACAAACATACACCCACACCCGTTTCAAAAAGCGGCACGACCGATGGAAAACGTGCCGTCGCCCAAACTTCTGTCTTGGACGCCCAAAGTGGGTACGAAAAAATGGGCACGATGCCCAACAATAAATGTTATTCGAAACCGACAGCGGCCGCTGTTGGGCAGGCGGCCTTCTACTTCAAATGGGCAACGCCCGCGGCGACGCCGACAGCGAACCCTGCTCGAAATGGACAGGAACTGCTGTCGGTCTTCGTCCTCAGTCTTTCTAGGGAGGCCTCTTAGATGGGGTCGGAGTAGATGGGGTCGCAAGATCGCGCCCCATCGCCGATACATCGACGATGCATCGGCGGTGCATCGGCGATGCATCGGCGATGCACTGGCGATACATCGTCGACGTCGGCGATGCACTGGCGACGTCGACGTGGAGCACTCGACCTCCACATCGAGCCGCATCGGCGATGCATCGTCGATACAGCACGATCCTCCGACCACATCTACTCCGACCCCATCTAGGAGGCCTAGACTTTCCATACCCGTTTCGATCGTACCGGATCTGGATCGGCGGCGGGCGAGGGGGGGAAGTGAGAATCAGAAGGCCTTCTCAGAAGGCTCAGAAGTCCCCCAGCCTTTGAGAGGCTTCCTGAGCCTTCCACGAAGACGCAGAAAACTTCTCAGAGGGCGCGAGGGCTTCTGAGAAGTCCCGCCGCCTTCTGAGAAGGCCTTCTCCCTCTCATTTCCCCCCCTCGCCCGCCGCCGAGTTTCGATCGTGCCAGATCCAAAGGCAGCAGAGTCGTGCTCCCAGCCCTCCACCGGGGACTTCTGCCTCGGGGGGGAGCAGGGGCTTCGAGGGCGGGGGCAGGGGCCTTGAGGGTCCTTCTCGGAGAGCCGCAGGCATCCTCGTCGCAGTCGTCGTCGTCGTGGTCGTCGTCGTCAGCCAGCTCCAAAACCTCCTAAGACGGCAAAGTACGCCGAGAGCCGGACGGACCTAAGAGGACCCTCGTAGCTCACAAGAGTGTCCCAAAAGTTACCCCCACACTGCCAAAATCAATCATAACCAAAAGAACTCATCGAGTCTGCAGCTTTCTTTGGATTCCTGTCTTCCACCAAAGACGACTACAAGACAGCTTTGGAGGCCCCAACGATCAAGACAGGCCTGAAGGCCACAAGTAGCCTGGGACTGCCCCACGATGGCCCCCCCCCCAGGCCCAGATGGCATCCGGAGGAGCCCAACAATGCACAAGAGGGCTTTAAGAGGGCGTCTGGAGGAGCCCCAGAGGACCCTACAAGACTTACCACCACCGCCTCGGGATGACCCAAGACGATCCCAAGAAATCCCCAGACATCCCACGAGGGCCAAAGTGGCTAAACTGAAGCAGTCAGGACACGACGACGAGACATGCGAGAAAGAGGGGAGGGGAAGGAGGATGAGTAGGAGGAGGAGGAGGAGGAGGAGGAGGAGGAGGAGGAGGAGGAGGAGGAGTCTTCTAGAGCAGGAGAAGTCGTAGGAGGGGGAGGTCCAACGAGACTGCGAAAACCCTGGGGAAAGAAAAGGCAGAAAGGTCGAGGAGCCAAGGTGCATGCACTGATCTCCCGTGCTAAAATCGAGACTCAGAGCGTAGATTCGCCCCGCGCGAGGAAAGGGGGAAGAAGTTGTGGCGAAGCGTCAAAGATCCAACTCTGTGTCGCATGTGTATGCGCACCGTGTATATGTGCTCGCGTACATGCATCTGTGAGGAACAGCAAGAAGGATAGCAAAAGCGTACGAACGACACGCCGAGCGGGAGCGCCATCGGCGTGCTGCTGCGGAGGAATCGCCAGGCCTGCGGGCAAACACGAAGGCGCAGCACGCTGACTGGCGCCCGACGGCGGCGCGTCATTGAGACTCGCCACTGCTTGGCGGCCTCGAAATCCCAGAAGACCTCACCGCACGGTGCGTCGCCACATGGTGTGGGGACCCTGGAGATCCTGGTCGCCCGAGACGTCCTCGGAGAACGAGCCGCGCCCCAGGTCTGCGCGGCGACCCCGAATCCCCACCGGCCCACCACGCGCGGTGCTCGGGGCCCCCGACCGCTTCCCCCCCCCCCGAGCAGGGCGTGCGGCTCGGCAGCCCTGGCCATCGCAGGCTCCCCAGAACCCCCCGACGCCGCGGCTCCTCCCTGGCGGGCCCCCGCAGAACGCTGGGCCCCTTCCCCGGGGGACCCGCTCCCTCGGCCGGCGCCGCGCCACGACGGCCCCAGGGCCCCGGGAGGCCGTCGCCGCCGGGGCCCGCCCGCCCGCCGAGGCGCACCCCCCCCCCCCGGCCGGGGGCGCGCGGGGAGGTCCGGGCGCGGCAGCCCCCCTTTGCCCCGACGCCTGCCCCCCAGAGGCCCAAATCTGGAATTGCTTCCCTGGTTTCTGGAGGAGTTTAGCCTCCTCGCCGTCTCGGCGAGCCAGCGCTCCACGACGGCCGAAGCTGGCGAGAGACCGCCCGTCGTGAGGCTCGCCCCAGCGCGCGGGGGCCCGGCGAGCGCAGGCCCGCCCGAGCCGCGCAGGCGGGCAGGGGCCCGGCAGGGGCCCGGGCAGGGGCGGGCGGTGGCGGGCGGGGGCGGGCGGCCGCGGAGGGCCCCGCCGCCGAGGATCGGCCGCGGAGGGCGGGCGCGCGCGGGCGGGAGGAGGAGGGAGGAGGGAGGAGGAGGAGGAGGAGGAGGAGGAGGAGGAGGAGGAGGAGGAGGAGGAGGAGGAGGCGCTGGCACCGAGCGATGCGAAGCGGGAGTCTCTGCACGACCACCGCCGGGAGGGTCCGCTGTCGGGGAACTCTCGGCGGGCGGTGGGCGCGGACGGGTTCGGGCCCCCGGGGGCTAAGAATATCTCCATGTCCACCGCCCGCTGGGGGCACCGGGACGTCAGTTCCCAGGCGGTGGATATGGATAAGATCCCCGCCTCGCAAACAGAACGATCAGACAGACTGACGAGAATAGCACACTAGAAGGAGAAGAAACGGCATTAGCATTAGCTCGTGGCGCTCCGCGCGGAGTTCTTGGATCTGCGCTGGAACCCCTTCCCTGGCGCGCGGAGCGCGCCAGGGGCGGCGCCGGAGGCGCCGCCTGGGGGGCCCAGCGCGGATCCAAGGAATCCGCGCGGAGCGCCGAAAGTTTATGGTTATGCCGTTGTCTTCTCCTTCGAAAGATGCCCCGACCGCCCCGCCGTCCTCGCCGAAGTGCACGCGCATCCGCCCCCCGCGGGCGGCGGCGGCGGCGCCCCAGGGGCTGGGGCCTCGCGGCCCCCGAGGGGAGGAGGCTCGAAGCGATATATGGCTGTGGGGCGCCTTGACCCCGCTGGTGGGTGGGACCAGGGCGGGAGTAGAGACTTCCCAGATGGGGTCCGAGTGGATGGAGTCGGAGGATCGCGCCGCGTCGCCGATGCATCGGCGATGCATCGGCGATGCATCGGCGATGCATCGCCGACGTCGACGTGGAGAAAACCGACCTCCACATCGAGCCGCATCGGCGATGCATCGGCAAGGCGGAGCGATCCATCGACCCCAGCTGCTCGGACCCCGTCTGGGAGGCCCAGGGGGAGGCGAGGCGGAGAGGAGGGCGGACAGCAGCGCCCAGGCGGCAGGTCTGGGGAGAGAGCACCGAGGGTGGAGCCCTTGGGCTGCCGCGGCCCGCACTCCACAGCCCTTCTGGATGACCACGCGCCTGGGACACCCGCGTGCTGGGTCTTGAGCGCACGCCAGGGCTGCATCTGCGCGGTGGGAGGGACGGGAGGATCGGAGAGACAAACCCAACCCGGGATCCACGAGATGGAGACGATAGGTGGGAAGCCAAACGGTATCGATGCCGCTACTCCCCGGACCTCTCCCAGGGTGCGTTCTGACCAGAACTTCGAGGCGAATCCACCATGGCGACGAGGACCTCCCAGGAGGCCCGAAAAAACAAGATCGAGGCAAGGATAGCGGGGTCGGTACCCTGTCGCTCTTCTGACTGGAGGGTGTATCCTCTGAGGCGAAGGGGATCTCAGAGTCAGGGTTGGCTCTCTAAGCCTTCCCTCCCTGACACAGCATCGGGCCGGGCGCCCCTCGCGCAACGAGCTGCGCGGCCGGGCGCCAGCGGCTCACCTACGCATCGCTCAACCGACCCCCTGCCCCCACTGGCGTGGCATTGATTGATCCCACTGGCCGACTTGCCCACCTGGGTGGGGATATATGCCTGCTCCTCCAGGTTTCGCGTGGCCCGTGCCCACCATGGAGGGTGGCCTGGAGGGACGGAGACGCCATGGCCCAATGGGGATATGGGGATGGGCTGAAGACGATGCCGATCACCTCTTCCTCTTGGACTCGCGCTGGATCTTCTGCGCCCGCCGGAGCAGCTTCTGGGGCAGCGGCGGCTGCAGCTGCAGCAGGCCCTCGCCAGCCTCGAGCACCGCGTGGCGGGTGCCCGCGTTGAGCGCGTCGCTGCTGGTCTCGCTGCCGTACACCTCCAGCAGCACCCGGAACACCTGCGAGGCCCGCTGCTTGAGGAGCGGGTGGCCCTGCTGCGCAAGCGTGAGCAGCGCCTCCCGGGGGAGGGACCAGTCGAGACAGCAGCGGCGCCCCGCTTTGGCGCCGCGTCGCCCTGGTGAGCCTCCTCCTGGAGGCGTCCCGTCGCCTCGGCGGGAGGCGCCTCGAGGACCCAGGTCGGGGGTGGACCACGGGAGGGCTCCGGGGTCCGACTTTGAGCGGGCTCGATGCGGGCGGAGGAGCAGCCCTTGCTGGGGCGCACGGGGACATACGAGTACCGTACGCCCGCCCTGGAGGCGCGCGTCCGACCCGAACATGTAGTAGACCCATCTTGTAGTATACCGTTTCCCGAGCGGTGCGGCCAGAAAGCGCCCGCCACGACGCAAGTGCTATCAGATTCCTCCGTGCGCGCGTCGCCCCTGGGGGGGGCGACGCACACACACACACACAGTATTAGTATGTTGGGGTGACGCCGACTTGTCTCCACTGGTCATTGCACCGACCTTTCAGACGTGCTGCAGCGGATTTGTGCATGGATTTCTGGCATTGCAAAGCCCCGAAACGGCGAGTGAAAAACGAAGTGAATTTCGCGTGGATGTTTTAGTCTTCATTCCTGACAACACAAAATCCGCACGAAATTCACTCCGAAATCCGGAACGAAATTCTCCAGGACAGTCGGGGCCCATCCCGTCGTTTCCCGAACGAAACCCGCTCTGCGATGCCGGCGCCACGACACTCGCCATCGCTCGGACGTCCATTCCCTGTGCTTTTGTTCAGTCGCCAAATGATCAAGGATGCTCCTCGATGGTCCTCGCCGGGGAAAAAATGCACACGTCCGAGCGATGCCAAGTGACACTGCCCCCCCCCTCCGAGCCTCGTGCGAGGGCGACGCCACGTCGGCGTCCTCCCAGATGGGCAGGCCGTCCAGGAAGAGCCCCAAGAGACGGTCCGGGTCGGCGGCCCGCAGGCTGGGCGCCTGGTGGAGGCACAGCTGCCCCAGGGCCGCCACCGCGGCCTCGGCTCATGTTGTCCCCATCCTACAGTCGGGGCGCTGACCTAAGGAACCCCAAATAAGGAGCGAGGCCCCTTTTCTCCAGAGGTTGAACTTCGATTTCCCTTCGAAAACCGAAAGAAAACGCGGGGCAAACTGTGAAATGATTAAGGAACACGGAGCCCCTACCCAACGAAAAGAGTTCCTTCTTCAGCGCCCCGACTGCACTTAAGGACCACATCCCAGAAATAACGTCGAGCGCCCAGAAGAATGGCAAAGGAGTGTCAAAAAACAGTGTCGAAGCAGCGTCGGGCGAGTGTCTCTCACAGGGCCCGACACGTGAAGACCCTTGAGTTTCGGAGCTTTTTCTGGCGCTCGAAATTCTTTCTGGCGATCAAAGGCTAAAGGAGGAGGAGGTAGAAGAGGAGGAGGAGGAGGAGGAGGAGGAGGAGCAGGAGGAGCAGGAGGAGGAGGAGGAGGAGGAGGAGGAGGAGGTAGAGGAGGAGGAGGAGGAGGAGGAGGAGGAGGAGGAGGAGGAAGAGGAGGAGCTAAAGTAGGCTGGAGCATCATAGGCCTCGGCGAACTCCCGGCCGTCCCGCCGCGCCGCTGGCCGCGCCAGCAGCTGCGCCAGGGCCTTGGCGGCAGGTCGGGCATGTCCTCCTACAGGCGAACTCTGGAAGAAAACGATTTCTGAGAACGAAAGAAAACAAAAAAGGAAAGAACCAATGCCAGCAAATGCTCAAAAAACTGTCCACAGATGCGCCGGCCCCACGGGCCAGAGGCATGCTGAGATCTCCGGTGACTGGTTCACAGTATTTCTAGTTCGCGCGCGCGGGGCGGCCCCTGGGGGTCCCCAGACGAAAAGTACCCGAGCAAGGTCGCGAGAGAATCCCCCAGAGCGCACCAGGAGCGCACCACCAGGCCCCCGAGACGCCCCCGAGAGTCCCAAGAAGGGCCAAGAGAGAGTCCCAAGAAGAGCCAAGAGCGCCCAAGAGGCCCCCAAGACGGTACACCAAGGGTCCGAGATGCCACAAGATCGCTCCAAGACGCTCAAGATAGCCCCCAGACGCCGCACGAGGCTTTCAAGAGCACTCCCAAGAGGGCCCCAAGAGGCAAAAATCCTTGCTTTTCCTTAGGTTTTGGGGAGATTTGGGCGTTTCCACCTTTTCGGCATCGCGACGCCCCAAGACGGCCCAAGAGGCCCCCAAGAACGCCCTAAGGGGCCCGAGAGGCCTCCGACAGGGCCCCAAGACGGCCTAAGAGGGTTCCAAGACGGCCCAAGAGGCCTCCAAGACGGCCCAAGAGGGCCCCAAGAACGCTCTAAGAGAAGCCCCAGAGGGGGAACACGAAACAACATTTCGAGCCCTCGGCCCTAAGAGGCCCCCAAGAGGCGCCAGGAGGCCCCTAAGAAGCCCCGGGAGGCCCCCAAAAGGCCCTGGCGAGGCCCCCAAGAAGCTCCCAAGCGGCTCCCAAGAGGCTCCAGGAGGCCCCTCAAATGCCCCCCCGACCACGCTAGAAAGTGCCAGCGATGCTACAATATGGGCAGCGAGCACAAAGAAATTCGGGGAAACTTCTGCACAGCGCTCCGTCTACCCTCCTCAGGCACTCCTCCTCCTTCTCCTCCTCCTCATCCTCCTCCTCCTGATCCCCTCCTCCACTCCAAAGTGGGAACCGAAGCGGACATATCGAGCCCTCGGCCCCAAGCGGCGCCCAGAAGCCCCAAGATGCTCCCAAATGCTCCCAGAGGAGCTCCAAGAAACCCCAAAGAGGCTCCAACAGAACCCCAAGATGCCCCCAAGAAAACCCCAACGAGGACCCCAAAAGGCCCCCAAAAGCCCAAACACCAGCGAGGGCACAATGCGGGCCGGCGGAATGAGCGAAGCGATGAAACAATCCACGGAATCGTCCCCAGACTACTTGTTGACTGTTTGGGGATATTCCTCCTGTAGAGGGACACGCCCGTCGTGGGCCTTGGCAACGGGCGCGGCGAGGGGCGAGAACTGCTCCAGCCGGGCGCCGTGGAACACGCAGTACGCGGCGGCCTGCCGCACCCACGCGTCCGCGTCGGCGACGGCCCCCAGCGCCTGCTGCATGAACGCCGGCCACACGGGCACGCTCTCCTCGCTGCGCGATGCCCGGCCGAGCACAAGAAAAAACCTCCAGGTGCACGGTTTCCCCCGGGGCCGTAGGCGACCCGAGGAGGGGGAGGAGGAGGAGGAGGAGGAGGAGGAGGAGGAGGAGGAGGAGGAGGAGGAGGAGGAGAAGGGGGAGGGGGAGGAGGAGGGAGGAGGAGGAGGAGGAGGAGGAGGAGGAGGAGGAGGAGGAGGAGGAGGAGGAGGAGGAGGAGGAGGAGGAGGAGGAGGAGGAGGAGGGAGAGGACGGATCGCCTAAGCCCTTCGGGGAAACCCTCCACCTCCAGGTCGGTTCTGGAGGTCACCGCGGCGATCGCGGCGGCCAAACGTCGGGGCAGGGCTTTCGTCGAGGAGCGGCATGCCCCCTCCTGGCCCCCCCAAAGAGAGTTGTCAACTTTATGTCCTGCGTGGACAGTCGTGCATTTTTGGCCAGGCGCCGACCATCACGCAGCGACTCCTGGCCCAGCTTCTCCAGCATGTCCCCGCAAATGTAGAGCGCCAGGCACCGGTCGGAGGCGCCGCGGCCGGCTGCGAGGTACTCCTGGACCACGGGCAGGACGCTCTGCATGCCCACCGACAGGAAGGCCCGCGTGTGGACCTCCATCAGGGCCCCCAGGAGCTCCGCGTACTTGACGCGCAGCATCTGCTCTGCCTCCCTCTGCTCCTCCGCCTCGGCCTGGAGGAGGAGGAGGAGGAGGAGGAGGAGGAGGAGGAGGAGGAGGAGGAGGAGGAGGAGGAGGAGGAGGAGGGGGAGGGGGAGGGGGAGGGGGAAGAGGACAAGCTAGGTGCGCTCGCGTCATATCTGACGTTCTACCCCTCCCTCCTATTCCTTACCATGGCGTAGATCTCTTCTCGATTCGCACAATCGGATGTCGTAGCATGGCGTAGCATTACATGGCATAGCATGGTGTTGAAGACCAACACGTAGCATAACATGGCATGGCGTGGCGACGCCCCAAAGTGGGGGAGGGAGGGGCTTCCGCGACCCAAAAAATCAACGAATCGGCACCGAATGTGTAATCATTTCCGACGGCTTCTTTGGGGGGTATTTTCTAGATTTTGGAGCCGATTTGGAAGGACCGAAACCATGCCGTGGCATGGCGCTGGAAATAATGACGCCAACGCTGCAGCGGGAGCACGATTCGGAACGAGCGGACGCGCGGAAATGAAGCCAGCGCTGCAGCGGGAGCACGATTCAGAGGACGCGGAGCCTGACATAGCATGGCGTGGCGACGCCCCAAAGTGGGGTGCGACTCAAAAAATCAACGAATCGGCACCGAATGTGTAAACACTTGCGATTATGTTGCAATTTTCAAGATTTGGGAGCCAACTTGGAAGGACCGAAAAGCATGCCGTGGCAAGGCGCTGGAAATAATGACGCCAACGCTGCAGCGGGAGCACGATTCGGAACGAGCGGAAGCGCGGAAATGAGGCCAGCGCTGCAGCGGGAGCACGATTCGGAACGAGCGGTGGCCCGAAAATTAAGCCAGCGCATCAGCGAGAGCAGCATAAAAAAACAACAACAAAAAACAAAAAAAATCCCAAACATCCTGTGGGTAAGTAAAAAACCATACGCGGAGGGGGGCCGGCCATTTCCCGGACGTCACCAGGGGGGGAGAGAAGAGAATAGTATTCCTATTGTGCAGCTGTCGAGAAGGAGGGGGGGGGAGGGGAAGGGGGTGGGGGAGAGGGGGAGGAAGAGGGGGGGGAGAGGGAAGGGGAGGGGAAGGAGGAGGGGGAGGAGGAGGAGGAGGAGGAGGAGGAGGAGGAGGAGGAGGAGGAGGACCTCGTCGTCCTCCTCCCACCCCTGCTCGCCCTGCGGCCCCCGCTCGGGCACGGGCACCTGGCGCTCGGTGGCCTCGCCCAGGAGCGCGCGCACCTGGACGCAGAGCTCCCCCACCTCCGCCTCCGGAGGAAGAAAAACGGCGACGCCTCGACGCAGACTGTCGGAGCTCTGGGCGAGGTCCCTGGATCTGACGACCTACCAGACCACCCCAACCCAACCCGAAGACCCGAATTTCGGGTTGGGGGGGGCAAGGGTTCCATACGTGTTTTCTCGATGTTCCCCGACCCCCCCCCCCCCACTGGAAATCGAGGATAAATTTGGGCCTTCGGGTTGGGTTGGGGTGGTTTGGTGGGTGGTGAGTCCCTGGATCGGCGCTCTGGACCCCCGCGCTGGGCCCCGAGGCCCCCGGCGTGCGGAGCGCGCCAGGAGGGAGGGGGGGGACCGCGCAGATCCGGGCTCCGCGCGGAGCTCCGAGGGCTTCGGCTCGTGGTCTTGTCTTCTGTAAACGAGCGCGTTCCACGGCTCGCAAAGTAACTACTGGCAGATAGCCTGGACCGACCACTCCAGGGGAGGGTATTTTTCGACACCCCTCACGAGGATCGTGGCCTCCGAGGGGGGAGCCGCAATCGACTACCCCCAAGAGCCCCCCAAGAGGCCCTGGGGGCCTCCAAAACGCCGCCAAGGAGCCCCAAGAGACTCCCAAGAGGTCCCCAAGAGGCCCCCAAGAGGCCCTAAAGAGGGCTCCAGGGCCGGCGGCATGAGCGAAGCGATTAAATAACTACTGGCAGATAGCCTGGACCCGCCGCGGGGATTCGACGAGCACGCGCATAGAGTCAGACAGATGTTTTTCGGATGTCTTGCGAGTAGGCACGTTGCGAGTGGTGGAACGCGCCCGGTGACTCCAAGTCGAGCCTCCGTCATGGACCCGGGGCCTGCGGCGCGGATGCAGATGCCGGTGCCGACGGCCTGCGCCTGCAGGGTCTCCGTGTCCTCCTCGCACCCTGCTGCTCCCATGGCACTTGAGGACCACATCCCAGAAACAATTCCGAGCACCCAGAAAAGTATCGAAACAGTGTCGAACGAGTATCGCCTCCCAGGGCCCGACGCGCGAAAACCCTCAAGTTTCGGTACTACTACTACTACTACTACTACTACTACTACTACTACTACTACTACTACTACTACTACTACTACTACTACTACTACGACTACTACTACTACTACTACTAGCTACTACTACTACTACTACGACTACTACTACTACTACTACTACTACTACTACTACTACTACTACTACTACTACTACTACTACTACTACTACTACTACTACTACTACTACTACTACTACTACTACTACTACTACTACTACTACTACTACTACTACGACTACGACTACCACTACCACTACCCACTACCACTACCACTACCACTACCACTACTACTACTACTACTACTACTACTACACTACTACTACTACTACTACTACTTACTACTACTGCTACTACTACTGCTACTACTACTACTACTACAACTACTACTACTACTACTACTACTACTACTACTACTACTACTACTACTACTACTACTACTACTACTCTTGGTGCTCGAAACTCTTTCTGGTGATCAAGGCTACAGCAGGTTGGATCATCATAATCCTCGGACCGCATCGCCTCCACGGTGCGCTGCAGGTAGGCCCGCAGCAGGCCCGACACCAGCGCGCCGTCGTCCCGGATGCCCCTCAGCTGGAGGCCAGCCTTGGCCGCGCCGATGAGCTCCTGCCACGTCTGGGTCGCCTCTGGCGGGACGAAAAGGCACCGATACCGCTACAGTCAACCCGTATCAGAAGGATGCACGATCAGGATGCAAGGGCCTTGGAAGGCCATGGCGACTCCTTGCGAGCGGGGCGCGGCCAACGAAAGCGGCCAAGGATGGACCGAGGAGTCAGGGATACAAGGGTACCCTTGGGAAGGCTGCCCATCCTAAGCGTGCGAGTACAGGCGCTCATGCGCACAAACGCCTCACATTCCCTCCTCGTCCTCCTCCTCCTCCTCCTCCTCCTCGTCCTCCTCCTCCACCTCCTCTCCTCCTCAGAGTTGCAGTCGCTTCAGGGCGGAGTGCCGCCTATGTTCGAGGCCGGCGCCGATGCTTATCCTCAACCTGCCGGCCTTGCAGGCGTCGGAGGCCTCGGCGATGAGCTTCCAAGACAAGGCAGACGCAGGGCTCGCAGTACCAGCACCAGGAGAAGCCCATCAGCGACACGGCGTTCATAAGCATGGATGCTTTGCAGGTGGCGCTCACCAACAAGGGGCTGGACTGGAGGGAGCCATGAAGCAGGAGTTCGACTACCTCCAGGAGAAGGCTGCCCAGTACGCGTTGGAGCATTGGGGCATCATCCTCACGGAGGGCATCGTCCAGGAACATCCCATGGAGAAGCACTTGGAGGAGGTGACGGTGAAGGACGGGCTGATCAAGAAGAACGAGCCCACCGAGCAGCTGAAGGCCATCACCCTGAAGAGGAAGCTGGCGAGGCGGCTGCTGGAGACGAAGAAGCGCCTCAGGTACATGAACAACCAGGTGGAGGAGAAGGGTGCCTCGAGGGCGGACGGGAGGAAGTGATGTTCGACCGGTGTGGCACGCTGGATGTGGGTTGTGGGCGGAAGGACTGCAGACCGTATCCTGCAGAGTGTTCTTATGAATACTCCTCCACGGCTAGCGGGGTGGTTGAGCCCTACCACGCGTCGATCGCCAGCGACATCGGGAATGGCGACAAGAAGGCGAGGAAGATGGAGAGGATTCTGGCGTAAAGCTGACAAAGATGCAGCAGCTGGACTTCTACGAGGAGTACGCCAAAAAAGTGCCGGAAGAGTCCAAAATCGGCAACGATTGCATCGCTGTGGGCATTGAGAAGATCAGGAAGCACAAAAAGGACAAGAATAACAAGAAGGACCAGAAGAAGGAGTTCGGAGATGGCGTCCCCATCGGATCAGGGGACGACTTCAGCACGGAGCAGCTGGTCAAGGAGGCCATCAAACGCTTCGGGCGCGAGTGGGCAGAGCAGTATCTGGACGAGCAGTTCCTGAAGGACGTGGCGCTGCAGGATGCTGTTGGCGTCAGAGTCCTCCTCGAGGTCCACTGGCGTCGACAGCCGTCGGCGCTACGACAAAAACTTGATACACGTGCTCTACTTCGGGTCCGAGTCTGCGAACTCATTCGCGCTGTACTTCGCCTTCAGCTATGTTGTCGGGGGGGGGGGGGGGGGCAACACCAGTCGTTCTCTGCGCTGTCGGGGCCCCGTGGGGAGCCCCGAGGGCGTGGCTCGGGCCTCTGGGCCGTCTTGGAGATTTCCCGCGTCTTCGGCCCTCGGTGGGCCCGCTTTGGCCCTTGGTGGGCCCTTGCCCTTTGTGGGCGCCTGGCCGCCCCGCGGGCGGGGCAGCCGCCCGGCCCCTGCGTGGCAGGCCCCGCTGGAGCAGGGCGCGCACCCAGGGCCCTCAGAGCCCTCCTCCTCCTCCTCCTCCTCCCTCCTCCTCCTCCTCCTCCTCCTCCCCCTCCTCCTCCTCCTCCTCCTCCTCCTCCTCCTCCTCCCTCTCCTCCTCCTCCCCCCCTCCTCCTCCTCCTCCTCCTCCTCCTCCTCCCCCTCCTCCGATGCGACGCATAGCAGTTGCACCAACCGTACTCCTCGGACCTCTCCCGGGGTGCATGCCGACCAGGCATTCGAGGAGAGCCCAACCGTGGCGGCGAAGGCCCTCTGGGACGAGCCGCGGGATCGGTGCACCTTCTCCTCCTCGGGGCCTCCCGCTTCACGTCGTCGCAGAAACCGAAGCTGAGCGCCGGCAAGAGGCACCTGAGGAGGAAGAGGAAGCGGCGGAAGCATACATTTTTGGAGGTCCGCGCGGAGTTCCTGGATCGGCGCTGGACACCCTCCCTGGCGCGCGGAACGCACCAGGGGCGGAGCCAGAGGCGCCGCCAGGAGGCCCAGCGCCCACACAAGAAATCCGCGCGGGGCGCCGAAAGGTTTTTTCGTTTCCAACTAGGATTGCCCATCGGGTCCACTGGTCCCCGCAACCTAGTTTTACCCCTACGCGCGTCATCTGTTGCGCTTGGTTTCCTGTTGCGCATGGCTTCCCCTGCTATCCACATGGGCTTCTGTTTTCCCCCTACGCGCGTCCTCTGTTGCGCGGGGCTTCCTCTGCTGCGCATGGCTTCCTCAGCTATCCGCATAGCTTCCTCTGTATCCGCATGGCTTCCTCTGCTATCTGCACGGCATTGTATTTGTATCCCTACACGTGTCTTCTGTTGCGAATGGCTGCCTCTGTTGCGCATGGCTTACTTTATTGCGCATGGTCGTTTCTGCTTGCGTCCTCTGTTGCGCATGGCTTCGTCTGCTATCCGCATAGTCCCCTCTTCTGGAGGTGGCGGCGCCATGATTCTGGATATGGAATGCCAGGTCCGGCCCTGGGCTTGGAACTAAAATGAAGAACTGGCCGCGGACCAGCGATCGGATAGAATAGAATAGAGTAGCGAAGAATGGAGTAGAGCCCACCCCAATCCAGTCCAGCCTACTCCAGCCCAATCTACTTCAGTCCACTGCAGTCCACTTCGTTTCAGTACTCTGATATATATATATATATATGTATATACATGGGAACTGCGCTGGCTGGTCTGTTTACGCCTTTGTTTGCTCTTCGAACCTGGCTGCGTCCTGCAGGTGGTCGAAGAAGTGACCGCCGAGCACCTCCAAGAAACAGGCGAGCATCTGCACGGCGCTCCTGAAGTCCTCGATCTGCGACGTCCTCAGACCCACGGCCTTCCCGCTCTGCAGGTAGCTGAGGGTCATGTCCTCCTCCTCGTCCAGGGCGTCTGGGTCCAGCACCTCTTGAGGAGAAACTGCATGAACATCAGATTCGAAGATCCGCGCGGACCTCCGCATGTCTATGTGTGCATGTGTTTTCGTCTTCGGACCTCGGAAGGCTGCATTTGCAGCGTGGCGTACACGCCGGGCAACAGGTGGGGCAGGTAGGGCAGGAAGTCCTCGGGAGTTCCCCCCGATGAAGACTGTCTTACGTCCCTGGCAGTTTACACGAGGGAGCTGCGACTGGCGCTTACCAGCTCGGCAGGGGCTCGCAGTGCATGAGACTCAAGACACCGGCAGAGGGCAGGCCCTCTGTCCGCCCTTCTCTGTCCAAGGGTCCAAGACACTGCGGGTGCACCTGCCCCTCCTCTACGAGGACGAGGAGGAGGAGGAGGAGGAGGAGGAGGAGGAGGAGGAGAGGGGGAGGAGGAGGAGGAGGAGGAGGAGGAGGAGGAGGAGGAGGAGAGGAGGAGGAGGAGGAGGAGGAGGAGGAGGAGGAGGAGGAGGAGGAGGAGGAGGAGGAGGAGGATTTTTTTTTTTATGGTCGACCCATGAACAGCCACATGACTCCGCTGGCATGGCGAGTGCCAGCGAGATGCACCAAAAACGGCGCAGGCCGCGCCACCGTCGGGGCCATGCCCCCGTGGCGCGACCTAAGCGCGACCAGGGAGCGCTGGGAGACCGTGCTCCGCGCTCCCTGGTCGGGGTAGGGGGCGCGAGCCGTGCTCAGCGCCAACCCTACCCACCACCCACTCCATGGGTGGCCGCGTTTTACGGCCCCGGGACCACGACACGACGCGACACGACAGGGGGACGAAACGAACGACGCGACACGAACGACACGAGACGGACGAGCGACACGACGGAGACGAGCCGCCAGCCCCGCCCCAGGGCGGCGAGTGCTGGGGGGGACCCAGCACCGCCCTGGGGAAGCACACGGGGCCAGGCGACCCCCCCGGGGGAAGGAAACCGCACTTTGGCGGCGTCCCCCGGGGTGCGGGGGATTTTCGCCCCTCGGGCCCGGCGCTCCCCGCCTGCGCCAGGAGGACCCTGGGGTCCCGACCCCTCCCCTACGGGAGGGGCCCCCTCGGGGCAGGAGGAGGAGGAGGAGGAGGAGGAGGAGGAGGAGGAGGAGGGGAGGAGGAGGAGGAGGAGGAGGAGGAGGAGGAGGAGGAGGAGGAGGAGGAGGAGGAGGAGGAGGAGGGAGGAGGAGGAGGAGGAGGAGGAGGAGGAGGAGGAGGAGGAGGAGGACGAGGAGGAGGAGGAGGAGGAGGAGGAGGAGGAGGAGTCCTCCTTCGAGGAAGGGGGGCCAGGCTGAGGATCACGCTGCGAGGGGCAACGACAAGGGGGAGGGGACCAGCTCAGGGGGGGGGGGGGGGAAACACCACGCCGGAATCGGCGATGCGGCGCCGCGCCGATATCGACGACAGGCCCCCGCTCCAGGGGGGCGGGCTATCAAGCCCCTGCCGGCGAGGAGTGGGCGGTGGGGGGCCGATGCCTCGCCCCCGGCGCCGGTCCCCCCTGCTCGGGGGCGCCCGAGAGGAGGGCGCCCCAGAGGGGGCTCCGCACGCCGTGGCCCGGGGCGCCGGAGGCGTGCGCGCAGCGCGGGGGCGGCCAAGGACCGCAGCGAGATAAGCAGAGGGGCCATGAGGTCTGGGGAGGTGTCATGGCCCTGGCCATGGTGTCCACACACACACACACGCACACACCCTGGGCATCCCCCCTCTCTTGGCCGCCCCCGACCTGTCGATGCCTCTGATCTGCCCTCGCCCTCTAATGGGGTCCTCACGCAGTGCGCGGCAGATCCGCTGGGCGGCCTCCTGGATGTAGCTCTTCTGCGGGTCGTCCGTGTCCAGGCCCTTCCCCGCGATCAGCATCATGGCCTGAGCAGGGCAGCGCGCCGATACGCTCCCTGAGATCCTTCAATTCAGCGATCTGGCCTCGGAGTGTCTCCGTGGCGACTGGGGAGGCGTGGATTACTGCACTGAAGAATTCCAGCGTCCTGGCATACCGAAATCCATCAGTTCAGTAATCCTCGTCTCCCTAATTAGTCACCATGGAGACGCTCAGGGGCCAGATCACTGAGCTGAAGGAACTCAGGGTGCGTAGCCGAGCTCAGACTCCCCTTGCGCCGCGGACCAAAAACACGACGGAAGGCATGGAACAATGTCGGTCGAGAATCCCGTGCGCCGTGGCAAAAATCACGGCCGAAGTGAATCTCCGACGACGTGACTTTTCAAATGGCGTTTTCTCCTCGATTTGGCCCTCTGGGCCCGATATCGGGCCCCGGGGCCAACAAAAACGTACCCGGGGCGAAAAACTGACCCCGCGGAAGGGGGTTAGGATCTCTGGGGACGCGCATTGGAAAAAACACAGATTGGAGGATGTCTAGGTTTGTATCCATTTTCAGCCTCGCACGGTCCTTCACGGGGCCTCAAGGGTGCCAACAAAAACAGTTCGGGATGGAGAACCCGTCTGGGGAAGGGGTCGAGGCCACTAGGGATCCAGGCTTTGAAAAAGAGATCCAAGCGGCGGGGGTCTGCGAAGGGAGGGGGGTGGTGACCTTCTAAGAAGGCACTGGTGCCTCTCAGAAGCCCTCCCGCCATCTAACAAGCTCTCTTAGAATTAGGTCGGGCATGTCCCCTACAGGCAGATTTTGGAGGAATTATCCCAGTGCGACCCTACCTAGGAGTTGGAGCCTCTAGGAAAGCAACAGTAACAGGAGCGGTAAACGCCGTCCTCCTTCTTCTCCTCATCGTCGTAGTTGTAGCTGTAGCTGTAGTTGCTTTTGCTTTTGCTTGGCACCCAGGGAGCGCAGCTGGGGGAACCGCGCGTTTGTTTTTACCTTTGCTGTTGCTTTTGCTGGGCTCCCAGGGGACTGGGGGAACCGCCCGGGGCGGTTTCCACTGTCCGGCCCCTTTAAGCGAAGCGAGTAAGAACCCTTCTAGGCAGAGCCTAGGTAGGGAAAAATGCGAATATTCCCAAAGAATGTCGAAAATGGTCAACAAAAAAAACGTCCCCAGACTATGTTTTACTATTCTTGGATATTCCTCCTGTAGAGGGACGTGCCCGACTTAATCGTAGAAGCCTCGCAAAACTCCTCGGAAGGCAGCTGGGGCAGGGCTTCTGAGAGGCCCCGCTGCCTTCCGAACAAGGCCGCCCCCCTCTCGCCCTTCTCCCCCTGGGCGTGCCGCCACCTCCGCCAGAACTCGGCAAGACGACGCAGTGCCCCTCCGCACTCTCACACACACTCTCACACACACACACACACACCGCTACGTTTGGTGCACTCGCATGCTCCAGCCAGCAGCGTGAGCGTTTTCTTTTCCAGCGTTTCGACGTTGCGCGGAAGGGGGGGGGTCTGGCTCTGGAGCTCTGCTTAGTGCGACTGTTTGCAACAGTGTGTCGTATGGGGGAGACCCCACCTGCTCGAGACAGGCGCCAAAAAAAGCCAAGATCTACTCCATGGGGAGGGGAAGGGGGATGCGAGGGCCCACGCCGATCGGCAAAACAACGAATAAGAAAAGGATCCACCCCCTCGTGAGCGAAACACGCGTCCGTATCCGCGGCCTCGCAGGCTGGGCCCCTGGGCCGAGACCGCGCCAGACGGGGCGCTGCTTCGCGGATGCCCTATGTGGGGTCCTGGTGTATACATGTTTCGTTGTTTCCCCGGGGAAGCGGGGAAAAAGTATGCACCGCACCACCCCGACGTCGCCCCCGACCCTCAAAAAGTCCTGGGATTGAACGAGAGCCCGCCACTGGTACTGCATGTGTTCCAGTTTCCGACTCAAGGCACGGGCACATTCTGGCGGTGGACGGCGCCCATCATCGAGCGTGATCGGCACCGTGGCCTCCCCTGGAGGCCGTGTTGAGCCGTCTTGGGAGTCTCATGGGCCCCCTTCGGGCTGCCCTGGGGCGCCCCTGGGCCTCCGGAGGCCCCTCGAGGGCGTCTTGGGGTCTCGGAGCCGTCTTGGAGCCGTCTTGGGGCCACCGTGGGGCGTCTTGAGCCTCTCCAGGAGCCCTCTTAGGACAGCTTGGGGCCTTCTCGGGCCGTCCTGGGTTCGTCTTCGGCCGTCTTGGGGTCTCTTGGGGGGCACCGTCGCGAGTGATCGACACCGTGGCCTCCATCGCCTCGCGGGCGCCAGGAGGAGGCGGCGAACAAGGAGAAGGCAGAGGCAGCCGCGGAGGCGGGGGCGAAGGCGGAGGCGGAGGAGGAGGAGGAGGACAGAGGACGGAGGAGGAGGAGGAGGAGGGGGAGAAGGAGGAGCAGGATGAGGAGGAGGAGGAGGAGGAGGAGATGGAGAAGGTGGCCTCCATCGCCTCGCGGGCGTCGTGCTTGAACACGTCGCGCCCCACGGCCATCCCCAGCAGCGACATGCACTCGAACGCCTTGCCGCGGAGGGCCCGCTCCTCCCGCGCCGTCGCTGTGAGCATGACCTGCTTCAGGACCTCCATGACCTGGGGGAATTTCTGGAATCGACGTCATCACCACCACCGCCACCACCACCATCACCACCACCACCACAATCAGCATCATCATCATCATCATCATCATCATCATCATCATCATCATCATCAGCAGCAGCAGCAGCAGCATCATCATCATCACCACCACCACCACCATCATCAGCATCATCACCATCAGCATCATCATCATCATCACCATCATCGTCATCATCATCAGCAGCAGCATCATCATCAACATCATCATCAACACCATCATCAGCGTCGTCATCATCAGTAGCATCATCATCATCATCACAATCATCATCGTCATCATTATCACCATCACCACCACAATCATCATCAGCAGCAGCATCATCAGCAGCATCATCATAGCCATCGTCATCGGCAGCATCATCATCGTCATCAAAATCACCATAACCATCACCATCACCATCAGCATCAGCAGCAGCAATGACATCATCGCTATCAGCATCCTAATAATCATCAACAACAGCATCCTCACAATCAGCATCGTAATCATCGTCATCATTATCACCAACAGCAGCAGCATCGTCATCATCAGCAGCATCAGCATCGTCGTCGGCACCATCACCATCACCATCACCATCACAACCACCTCCACCATCATCATCTTCATCATCAGCATCCTCATCATCATCGTCAGCACATCAGCATGAACAAAACCATCATAAATAGCAGTCACATTGACATCAGCTTCGACACCGTCATCAGCAGCATCATCACCAGCAGCGTTATCAGCATCATAATCATCAGTACCATAATCATCATCCTCATCAGCATCCTCATCATCGTCATCATGATCAGCAGCATCAGCAGCATGATCATCATCGTCGCAATCAGCATAGTCAGCATGATCAGCATCATTACCATCAGCATCATCAGCATCATTTTCAGTAGCATCCTCGTCACCAGCATCACAGCCGTACTCATCATCATCATCATCATCATCATCATCATCATCATCATCATCATCGTCATCGTCATCGTCATCGTCATCATCATCAACAACAATATCAGCATCAGCATCATCAGCATCATCATCAACATAATTGTCAGCGTCGTCGATATTACCATCGCCATGGCCGTCATCATCATCATCATCATCATCATCAGCATCATCATCATCATCATCATCATCGTCATCATCAGTATAAGCATCAGCAACAGCATCAGCATCGCCAGCATCATCATCAGCAGCAGCAGCATCAGCATCAGCATCAGTATCATCATAATCATCATCATAATCATCATCATCATCAGCATTATCATCATCGACACCATGATCATCATCACCATCATCATCATCAACACCAGCATCATCGTCATCATCACCATCACGATTATCATCAGCAGCAGCATCATCGTTATCATCATCCTCATCATCATCATCAACATCATCATCATCAACATCATCACCAGCATCATCATCGACTGCACTCCTGCCGAATGTTCAAGTCACTCCTGCCGTGCAAAATCATTCCTCCCACCCTTCGGCCCACGCCACCAGGACCCAGGCAGATAAATACATGATGTTGCGGTCTATATGGTATCCAAGGTGCCTCCAAATTCACCAAAGACCTCCGAAATGGCTCCAACATCCGCCAAGATGGCCTGCAAAATGGCCAAGATAGCCCAAGATGGCCGTCATGATGGGCCAAGACGGCCCCAGATGGCCCAACGCTGCCGATGGTGTTTGCAAACTCCTCGCCTCGTCGGTCTTCAGGGCGTCCAAGAAAGCTCGAGATACCCCCCAAGAACGCCCCAATACGACCCCAAACAGCCCCAAGAGGACCCCCAAGAGACCCTAAGATTGCCCAGGACGGACGCAGGACGGCCCAAGAAAGCCCCAAGCTGTCCTAAGAGGGCTCCTGGAGAGGCTCAAGACGGCCCAAGAGGGCCCCAAGACGGCTCCAAGACTGCACCGAGACCCCCAAGACGACCTCGAGGGGCACCTGGCGGCCCAAGAGCGCCCCAAGACAGCCGAACCATCGGCCGATTCCCAGCATGCTGGGGATGATGTCGCGGGCGCTTTTGGAGGGGACCCGCCGAGGTCGGGCAAGTGTGGGCGGCCCTCGAGAAATCCCAGACCCTACACTCTGGGCCGAGACGCGAGACGATTGCCAGAACCACATACGCAACGCATGATTCTGGCACAATGTATCGCGTAATGCCGTCTGGGCGGGAGCCAAAACAACTGTGGCACAGAAAACAAGCAACAAACAGTAGTACTGATTAGAATAGTAAGCATAAATAGATTGATACAAATATCAATAAAATGAAATGCGAATACCAAAAACAAGAATAATAGAGGAGAACAATGGCAATAACAATTTTAATAATAGTGATCTCAATAATAAAAATAATGATAACTATCCGCCGACCCTGTCGGCGTGTGTGGGGGGTCTGTCCGGTCCCCTCGACGGGGAGCCTTCTTTCGTCCCCTCCTTCCCATCCTCCTCTCCCGTCGGGAGAGACAAAGAGAGAGAGAGAGAGCACCCTTCCTCGTTCGGGGAAAGGGTTCGCAGCTTGAGGGAATTCCATCTACGTCCTCATCACGTCAATGGGAAGCCCCTTCCCTTTGTCCCTTCCCCGGCGGGGGGGGAGGGGGGGGGTCAGATTCGCATCCTCCTCCTCCTCCTCCTCCTCCTCCTCCTCCTCCTCTTCCTCCTTCTCCTCCTCCTCCTCGTCCCCCCCCTCTGTGTCTGCACCTGTTCCACCTCATCTGCCGTCTTCCCCCTCCTCCCGAGGCGCCTTCCCCATCATCTTCTCGCCGAGGTCAACGCCGTCGTCTCAAGGGTCGGCGGCACCGGCCGTGAGGCCTTCCCACTAATGATAAACAAGAATGATAGAAGTAACGATATCATGTTTTGTGGATTTGAACCGAACCCCCCCCCCCAAAAAAAAAAAAAAAAAAAAACGATCGCAACCCGCGTATACGTGTCGATCGTGCAGCTGCACCTCCTGCAAACCCAGCGGGGCGCAGATGTCCCCCGCCTTCGCCCCCCCCGCGCGCACCTCGATCCCTCCCCATGCCGGGAGGAGCGGCGCGCGCGCCGCCCGGGTGCCGGCACGCCGCCCCGCCCCATGGGGAGGCGGCCGCAGGACGCCTGCCAACCGGCCACGGACCTTCGAGCGGACGGCGGGAAGGAGTCCCCAGACCCCCTCGAGTCATGAAAAAATCACGACGGGAGGTTTTTCGCTATTTTCGGCCTCCGGGGGCCCTTACCGGCCCTCAGGACCGTCAAAAAACGACTCGGGATGAAAAACCGGTCCCAGGGAATGGGTCCAGACCTCTGGGGGTCGCATCATGAAAAAATCATGACGTCGGGGGTCTGGGTCCACAACTCCTCCACACCGGCGAGCAGCAACGACGCGGGGCACTGGCCTTGGGGTGGGAACCTGGGCCTGGAATCGGCGGTACGCCACCCAGAGATCGGCGGCGATAGGTCCCCGATCGGCGCAGCGGGATGGGCTGGCAGGCCCCTGCCAGCGCGATGCATGGGCGCTTGGGGGACGATGCGCTCCCCCCTGAGCCTGCGGTTGAGACCTTTGCTGAGCGTGCCCCGCGATCCGGAGCTGCGAGCAAGTCGCAGCGCCGTGAGGAATCTGTACCGGAGCCCCAGACCCCATCTTTCTGCTGCACCCTTCGAGCTGGCTCGACGTGTGCTGGACCTGGGGCCCGACTCCCGGCGACAACGCCCGGAGGGGACAACGCTGCGCCGCCCGGATCTCCGGGCGTCTCGGCGGCGGCCCCGGCGACTGGCCGTGTCCTGCGAGCGCATGGCGTGCCGCTCCGCTCTGCGGGGCGGAGGGGCTGGCAAAGGCTCGGGCCCCTGGCTCGCGGACTGGCACGTCGTCTGAACGTGCCGCGCCCGGAGCGGTGCGTTCCAGAACCGGCCGGCACGCCGAGCAGACGTCGCTGACCGCGTCGCCGCCCCCCGCGCTCGGGCTGTCCTGGGGGGCCTCCCGGGAGCATCTCGGGCCGTCTTGAGCCATCTTGGGCGCCTCTTGGGCCGTCTTGAGTCCATCCTGGTCCATCTTGAGGGCAGCCTGGGCGAACTTGGCGGCCTCCTGGACCCTTCTTGGGCCGTCTTGGGACCGTCTTGGGATCGCCTTGGAGTAGAAGTAGAGGCCTCCTGCATGGGGTCGGAGTAGATGGGGTCGGAGGAGCGGGCCGCATCGCCGATGCATCGCCGCTGCCACGCATCGGCGCCGCTGGCGTGGAGAAAGTCGGACTCCGCACCGAGCAGCATCGCCGATGCGTCGGCGAGGCGGCGCGATCCCCCGACACCATCTGCTCGGACCCCGTCTGGGAGGCCTGGAGTCCTGGGACCGTCCTGGGGGCCATCTTTGGGTCCACCTTGGGCCAACTTTGGGCCCTTTGAGGCGGTGGCTCGCCGCGAGCGGCCTGGACGACGCCTCCTCCTCCTCCTCCTCCTCCTCCTCCTCCTCCTCCTCCTCCTCCTCCTCCTCCTCCTCCTCCTCCTCCTACTACTACTACTACTACTACTACTACTACTACTACTACTACTACTACTACTACTACTCCCCCTATATCCTTATTCCTTATTAGAATATACTCCTACTCCCCCCTCAGGCCGGCAGATAGGGGCCGCATCCGGGTGGTCCCATCCTAACCTGTAAAAAACAATACAAAATCAACATTTTTCTTATTTTTTCCTCTCGACATGGACGTCCTGTCGTCCACGGCGATAATCCATTGCAAAAAATACCACAAAGAGCACACGCGCGCGTTCATGTCAGAATCCTACCGAACACCGTGTGTTTGCAAGCATTTCAACATAAAAACATCAAAAACCCAATGCTTTTTCACAAAAATTGTACAAATTTCCCGCCCGGGCTCTCTTGCTGAAATCATAGGAAAACCATAGGAATCTTAAGAATTCGGTCAAATCCAGCGATTTCACGTCATCGCGCGGTGCACTCGCGATGCTCTGTCATGCACCCAGGCCGCGAATCCTGTGCAAAAAATACCACAAAGAGCACACTCGCGCGTTCATGTCAGAATCCTACCGAACACCGTGTGTTTGCAAGCATTTCAACATAAAAACATCAAAAACCCAATGCTTTTTCACAAAAATGCTTTGGGGTGTCCTGTCAGACCGTCGGGCTTCCTCCGGCCACCTCTGGCTTCCTGCGGTGTACCGGGCCATTCTCGACTCGTCTGGCAATGCGTGCGCGGCATTCAACACGCGCTCGCCAGTTCCCGTCGGCAACCGCCATCGCGGCCGCATCAGCTGTACCAAACCGGCTGGCCGGTGTGACTTCGGCCCCCAGTTGTGCCAGCTTTGCTTCTTATGTTGTGGGAGGGCGGGTGGGACTGGGCATGCCATGCTTGACTCGCTCGAGCTGGCTAGCTTGACTCCTACTCCTACTCCTACTCCTGCTCCTACTCCTACTCCTACTCCTCACCTGCACGCGAGCCCTGCACGCCCTGCGGCGGCCTCTCCCGCCGCGCCCCCCACGCGCCAGGCGAGAGGACACGGCACGGGGGGCTCACGGGGCGGCGGGGAGACGTGAGGCTCGAGCTCGAAGGACTCGAGCTGGCCCGACGGGGCCGCCAGAAAAATTGGAGGCCTGGAAATGGGCACCAGCACCAACACAGGAGGTTGCCTCCTTAGGGGGGAGACGATCCTAGATTTCGGTGCTGGTGGTAATATTTCGGTCACCAAGCCAGAATATTACCACCATCACCAAGATCGGGATATTCTTCCCCCGGTGGAGGCACACCGCCGATGCTGGTGTTAGTGTTAACCTCTAGGCCTGCGAAAAAAGGGCGAGACCCAGTCTGAAACTTGGCGAGAGCTCCCGCTGCAAGCATTCCGCGAAAAAACTGGACCGTCAAAACCCAGGCCGGGCCCGTGAAAAAGTGTCGGCAACCCGAATTCCGACGAACTCGAGACTTGCGTTTCCCCGAAAGCGGCCTCCTGGGAGCATGCCGGCACCGACACCCTACCCAGGGCCGATCGCCACAGAGTCCCCTGAGGTCCGGCCGTTAGGCGTTGCGATTTTGTTCGCACCGAGCGCTTTCGCGCGGTCTCGTGCCCCAGGGCCATCACAGATCGATCCAGCTCGGAAAATGCTACAGAACGATCAGGTCTCTGGGGTTCCAGTCGCGATTTTTCGCGATGTTGCAATTTTTGTTGCAGCGTCGGATCTCAGGGTCTTGCCCAGGGCACACCCCCAGAGAGGTCCCAGGGAGCAGCTGTATCGATATCTTGTGACTTCGCCTCCCCCCCTCCTGTCGGCCAGAGCTCCGCGAGAGCCACAAACGACTGACCCTGGCGTTCGCATCGGGCTGGTGTGCTGACTTCCGTCCCGCAAGGGGGGACGAATTCAGTATGCATCTGCAGCGGACGTCGCGAGAGAGCAGGTGGCGGTCGGGCGGGGCTAGGGGGGGATAACCTGGCGGTAGTAAGGCACGAAATCCTCCTCGATCACCCCCGCGATCACCGCCACAGCCGTGATGGCCTGCTCTTTGGCAACGCGGGCCGGGGATATGATCTTGGGACAGAGTTTCGCCATCAGCTGGGGCACGTATGGAAGCAGCTCGGTCTTCCCCAGGTCCTCGGCAAAGTTCAAGAACGCCGCGCAAGAGTGGGCTGCCACCTTCACAACAGGGTCGTCCATCAGCCGCGAGAGCGCGGGCATGATGAGCTCGTGGTGCGTCTCCTGCAGGTAGGGCGTGTGGTCCGCCGCAGTCTGGCCTGTGCTGTTGGCGTCTTCGGGGAAGCCAAAAGGTACCAATACCGCTGCTCCCCAGTCCTCTTCCGGGACGCGCTCTGACCAGGAGTTCGAGGCAAATACAGCGGTGGCGAGGGTAGCGGAAGACAGGCAAACGAGGACAACGAGGCAAGGGTAGCGGCGTGGGTGCCTTTTCCTCCCCCGACTGACAGGGCGCATCTCAGTGACGGGTGGGGGGGGGGGGGCAGGCGGTCGAAGCAGAGGCCAGCCGTGGGGGGCCCCTCGATGGCAGCGCTCCAGATGCCCCCCCCCTCCTCGGGGAGCTCCTCCTCCTCCTCCTCCTGCTCCTCCTCCTCCTCCTCCTCCTCCTCCTCCTCCTCCTCCTCCTCCTCCTCCTCCTCCTCCTCCTCCCAAGGCTGGGAGGCAGAAGCCTCCCCAGGCATGCGCGCGCCGTGAACAGAATAACGACGGGGGGGTTTGGCCATCTCCGGCCTCCGGGGGCCCCAGACGTGCGTGCACCCGTCCTCGGCCTCCGGGGGCCCTCGCCAGGCCCCGGGACCGTCAAGAGACGACTGAAAGACCGGCATTGGGGCAAGAGTCGGGGGGAACCAGCACTGAAAAAATATAAAGGCATCGGACGTCTGGGTCTGGATACTCTGCGGGAGGGGGCCAGAACGCGCCCAGAGGACCCTCACTGGCTCCGATGGCTTCCCAGCGTGCCAGGCCCGCAGGGGCTAGAACTCCCTGCTCGCTGGGGTGGGCATCCAGCATCGGCATCAGCATCAGCATCCTCACCAGCATCAACACCCGCGCCCGCATCCGCATCGACATCACCCTGAGATCCAGGCGTTGCATTTTTTTCACACCGGCCGTTTTCGCACGGTGCCGGGCCCGGGACCATCGCAGATCGATCAGACTCAAGAAATGTAGCAGAAAGATGCCCCGAGTTTCCACGATGCTGCAATCTACTTCGCAGCGTCAGATCTTGGGCGCCAGCAGCGTCGGCATCGGCAGCAGCACCCCATCTGAGCGTCTGGCTAGTGCGCACCCCCGCGGCGCGGCCTACTGCGCTTTTTCTCCAAACGGTGCTTGCACTGAGGGGTTCGCACCTCGGGTCCAAGGGATTGCGCCTGACGGTCGGTCTGGCGGCTAGGATGCCGCCGTCGCCGCACCGTCGCCGCATTGTCGCCGCCCGTCGCCTGGGCCTGACGATCGGCCTGGCGGCTATGTTGCCGCCATCGCCGCCCCGTCGCCGCGCCGTCGCCGCCCGTCGTCTGGGCCCGACGGTCGCTTTGGCGGCTCCGTTCCCGCCGTCGCCGCCCCGTCACCGCCCCGCATAGACTGCACTGCACAAATGGCACCGCGCAGATTCTCTCTCCTTTCTAAAAACCAGAATAGGATCTACCCCCCCCCCGGAGTTATCGCCCCCCCTTTCGGGTACGTAAATCACACATGATTCTGGCCACGTGTCCATCCGAAATATGAAATCACAATGTCCCAGGCCAACCGGTATCCCCCCCCTGAGGTTCCCCTGTAAAAAACACTATGACAGATCACTGTTGCACGAATCCCTTGCGAAAATGAGACGATGTGCGCACGCGCGCGTCGTCGCGCGCGCATGCCGAAATCCTTCAAAAACAATTGGTGCCGGAAGGATTTCGCTTTCGAGTTCCCAAGAAACATACAAAAACACAGGGCTTCGCAACACTGATGTGCTAAAAAAGCTTACGCGCGAGCTCTTGCGATATATATATATATATATATATATAATGCTATTAAACGGGCGTCGCGCGCGCGCATGTCGAAATCTGTCGAACGCCCTTGCGCGTGTGCCGTCGCGAGAATCCTTTGCAAAAAAAGGGACGAAGTGCAGACGCGCGCGTCGTCGCGTGCGTATGTCGAAATCCTTCAAAACCCATCGGTTTCGGAAGGATTTCGAAATCGTGTGTCCAAAAAACCTACAAAAATCCAAGGTTTCGCAACACGGATTTTCAACAAAAGCGTGCGCGCGCGCTCTTGCGTCGTTGTCGTCGTCGTCGTCGCCGTCCGCCCTCCTCCCGCGTCGTCGTCGTCGTCGCCTACGTCGTCCTCTGTCTTTCCTCGTGTTCGTCGTCGTCGTCCTCGTTGGCGTCGTGGTCGTTTCCGTCGTCGTTGTCGCCTTGGTCGTCCTTCCTCCTCCTCCCTCGTCGTCGTCGTCGTTGTCGTCGGCGTCTCGTCGTCGTCCCTCCTATTTCGTCGCCGTCGTCGTCGTCGTCGTCGTCGTCGTCGTCGTCGTCTCGTCGTCTTCCTTCCTCCCTCGTCGTTGACGTCGTCGGCGTCGCCGTCCTTCCTCTTTCTTCGTCGTTCGCGTCGTCGCCGTCCTCCCTCGTCCCTCGTTGTCGTCGTTGTCGCCGTCGTCGTGCTCCCTCCTCGCTCGTCGTCGTCGTCGTCGTCTTCGTTGGCGACGTCGTCGTCGGCGTCGGCGTCGGCGTCGGCGTCGGCGTCGTCGTCGTCGTCGTCCAACGGCGTCGTCGTCGTCGCCACCGTCGTCGTCGTCGTCGTCGGCGTCGTCGACGTCGTCGTCGTCGTCGGCGTCGTCGTCGTCGTCGGCGTCGTCATCGTCGTCGTCGTTGTCGTCGTCGGCGTCGGCGTCATCGTCGTCGTCGTCGGTGTCGTCGTCGTCGTCGTCGTCGTCGTTGTCGTCGTCGTCGCAGTCGTCGGAGACGTCGTCGGTGTCGTTGTAGTCGTCGTCGGCGTTGTCGTCGTCGTCGTCGGCGCCAGTGTCGTTGCCAACTGCCATGTGGAACCAACCGCCACGGTCTTAAAAGGTTTTGCAAACCAAGTTGCGGGTGGGTGGGCAGGATGTTTGCAGGAGCATGAGATGTGTCACGCCATGGGTAAAAGTCAATTCTCCTTTCTAACAAGAGAATAGACTCTACCCCCCCCCCCGGACTTATCAGCTCCCCCTGGGGTAGTATAATTTCATACACATATATATATCTATATATATATATATATATATATATATTATATATATATATATTCTGCACACTCGTCTATCCTAAATATGAAAACATACCATCCCAGGCAGGCTGGTTTCCCCCCCCTGAGGGTCCCTTGTAAAAAACCCTATGCGCTGTCATTCTTTGTTCTAAAAAAACACTTTTTCGCGAATCCCTTGCAACAAATGAGACAAAGTGAACACGCGCGCGTCGTCGCGCGCGCATGCCGAAATCCTTCAAAAACCTGCGGCGCCGGAAAGATTTCGCAATCGAGTTTGTCGTCGTCGTCGTTGTCGTCGTCGTCGTCTTCCCTCCTCCCTCGTCTTTGCCGTCGTCGGCGTCGCCGTCCTTCCTCCTTCTTCGTCGTTCGCGTCGTCGCCGTCCTCCCTCCTCCCTCGTCGTTGTCGTCGTTGTCGCCGTTGTCGCCGTCGTCGTCCTCCCTCCTCCCTCGTCGTCTTCGTTTGCGACGTCGTCGTCGTCTTCGTCGTCGTCGTCGGCGTCGGCGTCGTCGTCGTCTTCGTCGTCGTTGTCGGCGTCGTCGTCGTCGCCGCCGTCGTCGTCGTCGTTGTCGTCGGCGTCGTTGACGTCGTCGTCGTCGTCGGCGTCGTCGTTGTCGTCGTCGTCGGCGTCGTCATCGTCGTCGTCGTTGTCATCGTCGTCGTCGTCGGCGCCGGCGTCATCGTCGTCGTCGGTGTCGTCGTCGTCGTCGTCGTCGTTGTCGGCGTCGTCGAAGTCGTTGGAGACGTCGCCGGTGTCGTCGTAGTCGTTGTCGGCGGCGTCGTCGTCGTCGTTGTCGCTGTCGTCGTCGGCGTCGCTGTCGCTGGCAAGTGCCATTTGGTACCCACCGTCACGGTCTTAAGAGATTTTGCAAACCAAGTTACGGGTGGGTGGGTGGGATGTTTGCGCGAGCAGTGGAGTGGTCAAGCGCGGTGCAGGGTAGCCAATTGCACCACATAGATTCTCCTGTCTAAAAAGAGAGTAGACTCTACCCACCCACCCCCGGCGTTATCGCCCCCCCTTTCGGGTATGTAAATCACACATGAATACATTTGATTCTGACCACATGTCCATCCTGAGTTTGAAATCACAATGTCCCAGGCCAACCGGTACCCCCCCCCTGAGGTTCCCTTGTAAAAAACACTATGCGCTGTCATTCTTTGTTCTAACATAACACTCTTTCACGAATCCCTTACAAAAAACGGGACGAAGTGCACACGCGCGCGTCGTCGCGCGCGCATGCCGAAATCCTTCAAAGACCTTCGGTGCCAGAAGGATTTCGCAATCGAGTTCCAAAACACATACAAAAACATAGGGTTTCGCAACACTGATTTGCTAAAAAGCTTCCGCGCGAGCTCTTGCGAAATCTTGGAGAAACCTTTGGTTTTTCAAGATTTTCACAACATGCTACCAAACGGGCGTCGCGCGCGCGCATGTCGAAATCTGTCGAACGCCCTTGCGCGTGTGCCGTCGCGAGAATCCTCTGCAAAAAACGGGACGAAGTGCAGACGCGCGCGTCGTCGCGCGCGTACGCCGAAATCCTTCAAAACCCATCGGTTTCGGAAGGATTTCAAAATCGCGCGTCCAAAAAAAACTACAAAAACACAAGGTTTCGCAACACGGATTTTCAACAAAAGCGTGCGCGCGCGCTCTGGCAGCGTCCTCGTCGTCGTCGTCGTCGTCGCCGTCCTCCCTCCTCCCGCGTCGTCGTCGTCGTCGCCTACGTCGTCCTGTGTCTTTCCTCGTGTTCGTCGTCGTCGTCCTCTTTGGCGTCGTGGTAGTTTCCGTCGTCGTTGTCGCCGTGGTCGTCCTTCCTCCTCTTCCCTTTTCGTCGTCGTCGTCGTCGTCCGTCGTCGTCGTTGTCGTCGTCGTCTTCCCTCCTCCCTCGTCGTTGTCGTCGACGGCGTCGCCGTCCTTCCTCCTTCTTCGTCGTTCGCGTCGTCGCCGTCCTCCCTCCTCCCTCGTTGTCGTCGTTGTCGTTGTCGTCGTTGTCGCCGTCGTCGTCCTCCTTCCTCCCTCGTCGTCGTCTTCGTTGGCGACGTCGTCGTCGTCTTCGTCGTCGGCGTCGGCGTCGTTCTCGTCGTCGTCGACGTCGGCGTCGTCGTCGTCGCCGCCGTCGTCGTCGTCGTCGTCGTCGGCCGTCTTGCTTCTCCGGCCTTCTTGGGGCGCTCTTGAGACGCCCCCGAGGGCTCCAAGACGACCCCGGAGCGATATCTGTGCTCGGTCCCGCATGGGTTTTGCAAACCAAGTTGCGGGTGGGTGGGCGGGATGATTGCGCGAGCAGTGGAGTTGACAACTTCAAGTTCGGCAAGTGAATTCTTGCTAAAAACAAAATAGGGTCTACCCCCCCCCCCAGGCGTTATCGGTACCCCTTTCGGGTATGTAAATCATATATATGATTTCGACCACATGTCCACCCTTACTATGACTTTACACTATCTCAAGCTGGCCGGTATCCCCCCCTGAGGTTCCCTTAGAAAAAACACTACGCGGTTACATTCTTTGTTCTAACATCACACTTTTTCGCAAATCCCTTGCAAAAAACAAGCCGGAGTGCACACGCGCGCGTCGTCGCGCGCGCATGCCGAAATCCTTCAAAAACCATCGGTGCCGGAAGGATTTCGCAATCGAGTTTCCAAAAAAACATACAAAAACACCGGGTTTCGCAACACTTATGTGCTAAAAAAACTTCCGCGCGAGCTCTTGCGAAATCTTGGAGAAACCTTTGGTTTTTCAAGATTTTCACAACATGCTACCAAACGGGCGTCGCGCGCGCATGTCGAAATCTGTCGAACGCCCTTGCGCGTGTGCCGTCGCGAGAATCCTCTGCAAAAAACAAGACGAAGTGCAGACGCGCGCGTCGTCGCGCGCGTATGCCGAAATCCTTCAAAACCCATCGGTTTCGGAAGGATTTCAAAATCGTGTCCAAAAAACATACAAACACACAAGGTTTCGCAACACGGATTTTCAACAAAAGCGTGCGCCGCGCGCGCGCTCTTGCGTCGTCGTCGTCGTCGTCGCCGTCCTCCCTCTTCCCGCATCGTCATCGTCGTCGTCGCCTACGTCGTCCTCTGTCGTTCCTCGTGTTCGTCGTCGTCGTCCTCTTTGGCGTCGTGGTCGTTTCCGTCGTCGTTGTCGCCGTGGTCGTCCTCCCTTCTCCTCCCTCGTCGTCGTCGTCGTCCGTCGTCGGCGTCTCGTCGTCGTCCCCCCTATTTCATCACCGTCGTCGTTGTTGTTGTCGTCGTCGTCTTCCCTCCTCCCTCGTCGTTGTCGTCGTCGGCGTCGCCGTCCCTCCTTCTTCGTCGTTCGCGTCGTCGCCGTCCTCCCTCCTCCCTCGTCGTTTTCGTCGTTGACGTCGTTGTCGCCGTCGTCGTCCTTCCTCCTCCCTCGTCGTCGTCTTCGTTGGCGTCGTCGTCGTCTTCGTCGTCGTCGGCGTCGTTGTCGTCGTCGAAGTCGTCGGAGACGTCGTCGGTGTCGTCGTAATCGTTGTCGTCGGTGTCGTCGTAGTCGGTCTGAAGAAGTTTTGCAAACCAATTTGCGGGTGGGTGGGTGGGATGTTTGCGGGAGCAGTGGAGATGACGACTTCAAGTTCAGCAAAGTGGATTGCACCGCACAGACTGCACCACATGGAGTACACCACAATCTTGCGCCGCACAGACTGCACCACACGGATTGCACCACATAGCTTGCGCCACATAGATTGCACTACACGATTGCACCACATAGCTTGCTTCGCATATATTGCCCAACATACGTATGTTGCACCACCTAGATTGCACGACACAGATCACACCACGCATATTGCAGAAAAGGTATGGCGCAACACACATCGCATCACATAGGTTGCACCAGACTGATTGCACCACATCTATATATTCTCCTTTCTAAAATGAGAATAGACTCTACCTCTCCCCCGGCGTTATCCGTTCCCCTTTCGGGTGTGTAAATCATATATGATTTTGGCCACATGTCCATCCCAAGTATGAATTTACGATGTCCCAGGGGAAGCGGTATCGGTACCCCTGAGGTTCCCTTGTAAAAAAACGATGCGCGGGGACATTGTTTGTTCTAACATAACACTTGTTCGCGAATCCCTTTGCAAACAACGGGACGAAGTGCACACGCGCGCGTCGTCGCGCGCGCATGCCGAAATCCTTCAAAAACCTTCGGTGTCGGAAAGATTTCGCAAAAGAATTACCAAAACACAGGGTTTCGCAACACTGATTTGCTAAAAAAGCTTACGCGCGAGCTCTTGCGAAATCTTAAGAAAACCATCGGTTTTTCAAGATGTTCGCAACATGCTGCCAAACGGGCTTCGCGCGCGCGCATGTCGAAATCTGTCGAACGCCCTTGCGCGTGTGCCGTCGCGAGAATCCTCTGCAAAAAACAAGACGAAGTGCAGACGCGCGCGTCGTCGCGCGCGTATGCCGAAATCCTTCAAAACCCATCGGTTTCGGAAGGATGTCAAAATCGTGCCCAAAAAACCTACAAAAACATAAGGTTTCGCAACACGGATTTTCAACAAAAGCGTGCGCGCGTGCTCTTGCGTCGTCGTCGTCGTCGTCGCCGTCCTCCCTCCTCCCGCGTCGTCATCGCCGACGTCGTCCTCTGTCTTTCCTCGTGTTCGTCGTCGTCGTCCTCTTTGGCGTCGTGGTCGTTTCCGTCGTCGTTGTCGCCTTGGTCGTCCTTCCTCCTCCTCTCTCGTCGTCGTCGTCGTCAGTCGTCGGCGTCTCGTCGTCGTCCCTCCTATTTCGTCGCCGTCGTCGTCGTCGTCGTTGTTGTTGTCGTCGTCGTCTTCCCTCCTCCCTCGTCGTTGTCGTCGTCGGCGTCGCCGTCCTTTCTCCTTCTTCGTCGTTCGCGTCGTCGCCGTCCTCCCTCCTCCCTCGTCGTTGTCGTCGTTGTCGTCGTTGTCGCCGTCGACGTCCTCCCTCCTGCCTCGTCGTCGTCTTCGTTTGCGACGTCGTCGTCGTCTTCGTCGTCGTCGGCGTCGGCGTCGTCGTCGTCTTCGTCGTCGTCGACGTCGGCGTCGTCGTCGTCGCCGCCGTCGTCGTCGTCGTCGTCGGCGTCGTTGACGTCGTCGTCGTCGTCGTCGGTGTCGTCGTTGTCGTCGTCGTCGGCGTCGTTATCGTCGTCGTCGTTGTCATCGTCGTCGTCGTCGTCGGCGCCGGCGTCATCGTCGTCGTCGGTGTCGTCGTCGCCGTCGTTGTTGTCGGCGTCGTCGAAGTCGTTGGAGACGTCGTCGGTGTCGTCGTAGTCGTTGTCGGCGGCGTCGTCGTCGTCGTTGTCGCTGTCGTCGTCCGCGTCGCTGTCGTTGCCAAGTGCCATTTGGTATCCAACGTCACGGTCTTAAGAGATGTTGCAAACCAAGTTGTGGGTGGGTGGGTGGGATGTTTGCGCGAGCAGTGGAATGGTCAAGCGCGGTGCAGGGTAGTCAATTGCACCATATACATGGCGCCGCAGATGTTGCACCACATAGACGGCACCGCATAGATTGCTCCACATCGATGGCACCGCATAGATTGCTCCACACAGGTTGCAAATCATACATTGTTTTTTCGACCCGAAAGGAAAGTGCACGGCACCAAAACGGTCACACTTGAGACAGCCATTCTGGCTCAAAATTGTGGCCGCCACCAAAGCGACCCTAAGAATCCAAACTACCTCAGCTACTTGCCTGCAGAGGCTTCCTTCAAACGAATCCTCAAAATTGTTGCACATCATAGAATGTTAGAAACACACTGCTTAGGGTCCACACTGGCCAACGTTGCACAACAAGAACATCGCCTGAAGGCTGGCTCGCCCTGCCGGTTCCAAGGGGATGGCACTGCGCCCAGGGACGACCTGCTCTGGCCCGACAGTGGCAGCCGCGAGAAAAGGAGGAGGAGGAGGAGGAGGAGGAGGAGGAGGAGGAGGAGGAGAGAGGGGAAAGAAGAAGAAGAAGAAGAAGACACGTGGAAGAGGCGCGGCCTATAGCGTGCAGAGCGGCGAAGCGGACCCGAGGGTGCCCATCGCTGAGCAGGGAGACCAGCAGCCTCGCGATCTCGTCCACGTGGGCCTCGTCCTGCACGGTCTCGGCGCACTGCGACAGCGTCATCATGGCCACGTACTTCCGCTTCCTGGAGCAGCGGATGACGCGACGACGACGACGACGACGACGACGACGACGACTTCCGCTTAAAGCGGCCGGTGCCGCCTCGCTCGGCAGCGGAAATCCGCGATTTCCCCTGGAAACGGGACCCGTGGCTAATCCATGTCCCCGTGATCCATGTCTGCGATTGCCTGGTTATACCGACAGCAAAGATCGTTCGATGTCGAACGAATCCAGCGCCGCCTCGCAGCGATCAACCTATTTGACTACCTACCACCCCGACCAAACCCGAAGACCCGAATTTGACCCGAACTTCGGGTTGGGGTGGGGTACGGGTGCCATGTGTTTTTTCAATGATCCCCGACCCCCCCTCACTGGAAATGGAGGGCAAATTGAGGTCTTCGGGTTGGGTTGGGGTAGTTTGGTGGGTGGTGACTATTGAGCGCCCACGCTGAGGTCGCCGCAGCGTCGACGCGACACGAACCTGCCGCACCTCGGGCTTCGTCGAGCTCGCCCCCCCTGGAGGCATATCTTGCGCGGCCGAGGCTCCCCGACCCCCCCCCCTCGTATCCTCTCGCCAAAGGCTTCCCCCCCAGGAGGAGGAGGAAGAGGAGGAGGAGGAGGAGGAAGAGGAGGAGGAGGAGAAGGAGAAGGAGGAGGAGGAGGAGGAGGAGGAGGAGGAGGAGGAGGAAGAGGAGGAGGAGGAGGAGGAGGGAGGAGGAGGAGGAGGAGGGGGAGGAGGAGGAGGAGGAGGAGGAGGAGGGAGGAGGAGGAGGAGGAGGAGGAGGAGGAGGAGGAGGAGGAGGGAGGAGGAGGGAGGAGGAGGAGCAGGAGGAGGTGGAGGAGGAGGGGGAGGCGGGGAGGGGGAAAGGAAAACCCCCGGACGTCCGACTTCTTGATTGTCTGCACTGCGGGGTCCCTGGAGGTCCCGACCCGCCCCTTCATCCAGAGCCGTTGTCTTGCGGTCCCCGGGCCCCCGGAAGCCGAAGACCGCCAGAAAACCTCCCGCCGTTCTTTTGCCCACGACGCGAGCACGCCTGGGCCCGTGCACGAGACTGCTTGCCTTCTGGGGCGGGGGAGGGGCACCTCCAGCCCCCCCGATCCAGTCGGCGTGGTTGACGTACTCCCGCACGTTCGCGAAGACGTGGCCCAGCACCGCCTCCGGACCGAGGGCGCGCGCCACGCGGTCGATGCCCTCCTCGCCCACCTCATAGTTCGACGCGTCTGGAGCGCCGTCGTCGCGATAGGCCTCGCTCCAGTCCTCGACATCTTCGAGCTCCAGCATGAGCTCCATGCAGAGCGTCACCATCTCTCGGATGAAGCTCGGGAGCTTCGCGCAGGCCCTCGTGCGCTTCTCGACGGTCGGGTGTTGACACAGAAGCGCCCCTGGCACGATGTGCCCCCAGCTTGCAGCACGTCTGGGGTGGCCCTCAGGGCCCTTCTGGGACACGTGGGGGGGGGCGTCTGGAGGCCAACTCGGGCCAGGGGCGCCTCCGGCAACACTCGAGATAAGGGAGGTCAGGAACTCGAACGCCATCTGCCTGACCGAATCGTCCAGGGGATCGCGGGCTCGGCAGATGGCGAGCATCATTGGAACAACCGCGTTCATGTGCTGCGAGAAGGCGCTCGGAGCCACCTCCACGACCTTGGGGGCGGGGGGCCAGAAGCCAAGGCCCTCAACGTCGACGTCGTTCCTCCTCCTCCTCCTCCTCCTCCTCCTCCTCCTCCTCCTCCTCCTCCTTTTCCTCCTCCTCCTCCTCCTCCTCCTCCTCCTCCTCCTCCTCCTCCACTTCTCCACGTGGATGTTTGCGACAATCTAGACCGGCCTCCCTGGACCAGCCTTCCATCCCGAGTCGTTTCTTGACGGCCCCGGGGCCCGGCAAGGCTGAGGTCGGGCATGTCCTCCTACAGGCAGATTTTGGAGGACAAATGGAAAAATAGTCCAACAACAAATATCAAGAATAATTCGCCGGCCCAACGGGCCAGAGGCGTGCTAAGATCTCCGGTAACTGCTCTACAATGTTTCTACTTCGCGCGCGCGGGGCGGCCCCTGGGGGTCCCCAGACGAAAAGTACCCCGACCAGGTCCCGGCTGGTCCCCGGCCGGGTCCCCCCGAGCGCTCCACGAGCGCACCAACAGGGCTCCGAAAACGTCCCCGAGGACCCAAACAAAACCAAGAGGCCCGCAAGAGGTCCCCAAGATGGTACACGAGGCGTCCGAGATGCCACAAGATCGCTCCAAGACGCCCAAGATGGCCCCCAGACGCTCCAAGAGGTCTCCAAGCGTACTCCCAAGAGGGCCCCAAGAGGCAAAATTCATTGCTTTTCCTTAGGTTTTGGACATATTTTGGCTTTTCCACCTTTTCCGCTTCCCGAAGCCCCAAGACAGCCCAAGACGACTCCAAGATCGCCCCAAGAGGGCTTAAGAGGCCCCCAAGAGAGCCCCAAGACGGCCCAAGAGGGCTCCAAGACGGCCCAAGAGGTCTCCAAGACGGCCCAAGAGGGCCCCAAGAACGCCCCAAGAGGGGGAACACGAAACAACATTTCCAGCCCTCGGCCCCAAGAAGCCCCCAGGAGGTCCCAAGAGGCCCCTAAGAGGCCCCAAGAGACCCCCCAGAGGCTCTCAGGAAGCTCCCAAGAAGCCCCCAAGCGGCCCCAGGAGGCCCCCAAAATGCCCCCCCGAGCACGCGAGCAAGCGCCAGTGATGCTGCAATATGGGCCGGCGGAATGAGCGAAGCGATTGAATCAAACATGGTCGAACATCGTCCCCTGACATGTTTTGAACATTCCTCCTGTGGAGGGACATGCCCGACCTAAGGCAAGCCCCCAGAAGCCGACCATGGCCAAAAGCATCCCGTCCCAGACATCCTCAGACGTGCGTCCTTTCCGTGCGCGGTCGCAGTGGTCCGGACCCCTTCCCTGGGGCCGATTCCTCGCCCTGGGTCCATGTTGAAACGCCGCCAGCTGGGAAAAACAGCTACTACTACTACTACTACTACTACTACTACTACTACTACTACTACTACTACTACTAATACTACTAATACTACTACTACTACTACTACTACTACTACTACTACTACTACTACTACTACTACTACTACTACTACTACTACTACTACCACTACTACTACTACTATTACTACTACTACTACTACGACTACGACTACGACGACGACTATGACTACTTCTACTACAACAACAACACCACCACCAGTCAAAAAACAGGGTGCGACCGTCGAGGGGCACACCTTGATTGAAAAAACAATATGCACGGGTGGGGGGATCAACAATAATTATTCTTCAAAATGGGGGTTAACTAACAACAACAACAACAACAACAACAACAACAACAAGAACAAGAACAAGAACAAGAACAAGAACAAGAACATCAACAACAACAACAACAACAACAACAACAACAACCAACAACAACAACAACAACAACAACAGCAACAACAACAACAACTGCTACTACTACTACTACTACTACTACTACAATTTTAAGACCGTTCGCCCTTATATGCTCGAGTGTCCAATAACGAGTATTTCCAAAACCCTCGATACCCGCCCTCTTCGTCTTCGATCGAACCCCTTTTGGGGGTACACCTTTCTTCCCTGCAGGTGGGGCCCCGGCAAGCGGCGGGGCGGCCGCGGACCGTCGGCCTGGCCAGCGGCAGCGCTGATCGGCGTGGCGGCCGCGGACCGTCGACCCGACCCCAAGAGGGACGGACAGGGGACCGACCACGACGACGACGACGACGACGACGACGACGACGACGACGTCGAAGACGACGGCGACGACGACGACGACGGCGACGACGAGCGAAAGCGAGAGCGAGAGAGAACGCGAGCGAGAGCGCGATTCCTGAATAAAATGCGAGGAAGTCTCGGGCGGGAGCGGGGGTCCTGGCTAAATTGCAAGGAAGTCTCAAGCGGGAGCCGTTGTTGTTGTTGTAACCCGGGGGCCAGGGGCCCAGTTTGAGCAGGAAGACTTTCCCTGTCAAAAAACAGGGTGCGACCGTCGAGGGGCACACCTTGATTGAAAAAAACAATATGCACGGGTGGGGGGATCAACAATAATTATTCTTCGGAAATGAGGGTTCAACAACAACAGCAACAACAACAACAAGAACATCAACACCAACAACCACAACAACAACGACGACAACAACAACAACCACACCAACAACAACAATAACAACAATAACAACAACAACAACAACAATAACAACAACAACAACAACAACAACAACAACAATCACAACAGCAGCAGCAACAACAACAGCAACCGCAACAACAAACCTAACAACCACAACAACAATAGCAACCACACAACAACAACAACAACAACAACAACAACAACAACAACAACAACAACAACAACAATAACAGTAACAATAATAACAACAGCCACAACAGCAACAACAACAACTGCAACCACAACAACAGCGACAAGTACAACAACAACCACCCCACCAACAACATCAACTACAACCACACCACCACCAACAACAACAACAACAACAATAACAACAACAACAACAACAACAACAACAATAAAGTTCTTAGCCGTTGTAGCGCACGGCGGGACGCCAAGCTTCCAAAGAACAAGTTGGTCGGAGTTGCATCTGGTCGGAGTTGCATCTGGTCTGACTAGTCTGGTTGGTCTGGCTGGTCTGGTTGGTCCAGTTTGAGCTTGGTGCTGAGGCTTTAGCTTAGGTTTCAAGCAAGAGTGGTTTAGGGGAGGTCCGGGGAGGCAGCGACAACCACTACCACCGAAAAGCAGTGCTTTTTGCGTTGCAGTTTTTTTTGCATTGCAGTTTTTTGTTGCATCTGGTCTGGCTGGTCTGGTTGGTGTGGTTTGAGCCTGGTGCTGAGGCTTTTGCTTAGGATTCAGGCGAGAGTGGTTTAGGGGAGGTCCGGGGAGGCAGCGACAACCACTACCACGACCGAAAAGCAGTTTGTTTTGCATTGCAGATTTTTGTGCATTGCAGTTTTTTTTTGCATTGCAGATTTTTTGTGCATTGCAGTTTGTTTTGCTTTGCAGTTTTTTTTGCATCTGGTCTGGCTGGTCTGGCTGGTCTGGTTTGAGCCCAGTGCTGAAGTTTTTTTTTGCATTGCAGTTTTTTTGCATTGCAGTTTTTTTTTGCATTGCAGCTTTTTTTGCATTGCCGTTTTTTTTGCATTGCAGTCTGGCTGGTCTGGCTGGTCTGGTTTGAGCCCAGTGCTGAAGTTTTTTTGCATTGATTTTTTTTTGCATTGCAGTTTTTTTTGCATGGCAGTTTTTTTGCATCTGGTCTGGCTGGTCTGGTTGGTCCATTTTGAGCTTGGTGCTGAGGCTTTAGCTTAGGATTCAAGCGAGAGTGGTTTAGGGGAGGTCCGAGGAGGCAGCGACAACCACTACCACGACCGAAAAGCAGTTTTTTTTGCATTGCAGTTGTTTTTTTGCATTGCAGTTTGTTTTGCATTGCAGTTTTTTTTGCATCTGGTCTGGCTGGTCTGGCTGGTCTGGTTGGTGTGGTTTGAGCCTGGTGCTGAGGCTTTAGCCGTCGTCGTCGTCGTCGCCGTCGTCGTCGTCGTCGCCGTCGCCGTCGCCGTCGCCGTCGCCGTCGCCGTCGCTGGTCTCGATGCGGATTCTTTTGGCTGGTTTTGCCGGGGTCCCCCGGGGCAGCGGGCACCCAGGCAGACTTGGGGGGAGCTCTCGGATCTCTTTTGGCTGGTTTTGCCGGGGTCCTCTGGCAGCCGCCGTCGTCGTCGTCGTCGTCGTCGTTGCCGTTGCCGTCGCCGCCGTCGTCGTCGTCGTCGTCGTTGCCGTTGCCGTCGTCGTCGTCGTCGTCGTCGTCGTCGTCGTCGTCGTCGTCGTCGTCGTCGTCGCCGTCGCCGTCGCCGTCGCCGTCGCCGTCGCCGTCGCCGTCGCCGTCGCCGTCGCCGTCGATCTCGATGCGGGTCCTTTTGGCTGGTTTTGCCAGGGTCCCCCGGGGCAGCGGGCACCCAGGCAGACTTGGGGGGAGCTCTGTGGATTCTGAGCTTCGGATCTCTTTTGGCTGGTTTTGCCGGGGTCCTCTGGCAGCCGCCGTCGTCCTCGTCGTCGTCGTCGTTGCCGTTGCCGTCGGGTTCTCAGCTATAAACTGGGACTGGGTGGGTGGGTGCGTCAGCACTGATAAAGTTCTTAGCCGTGTAGCGCACGGCGGGACGCCAAGCATTCAAAGAACAAGTTGCTCGGAGCTGCATTTGGTCGGAGTTGCATCTGGTCTGGCTGGTCTGGCTGGTTTGGCTGGTCTGGCTGGTCTGGTTTGAGCCCAGTGCTGAAGCTTTAGCTTAGGATCTGGGCGAGAGTGGTTTAGGGGAGGTCCAGGGAGGCAGCGCCGGGGACGACCACCGAAAAGCAGTTTTTTTGCATTGCTGTTTTTTTTGCATTGCAGTTTTTTTTGCATTGCAGTCTGGCTGGTCTGGCTGGTCTGGTTTGAGCCCAGTGCTGAAGCTTTAGCTTAGGATCTGGGCGAGAGTGGTTTAGGGGAGGTCCAGGGAGGCAGCGCCGGGGACGACCACCGAAAAGCGTTTTTTTGCATTGCAGTTTTTTTTGCATTGCAGTCTGGCTGGTCTGGCTGGTCTGGTTTGAGCCCAGTGCTGAAGCTTTAGCTTA